ACAGATAGATAGACAGATAGATAGATAGATAGATAGATAGAAGGATGATAGATAGATAAAAGGATGATAAACAGATAGATAGATAGATAGATAGTTAGACAGATAGATAGATAGAAGGATGATAGACAGACAGACAGATAGATAGATAGATAGATAGATAGATAGATAGATAGATAGATAGATAGAAGAATGATAAACAGATAGATAGAAGGATGATAGATAGATAGATAGAAGGAAGGATGATAGATAGATAGTTGATAGATAGATAGTTAGATAGATAGATAGATAGTTAGATAGATAGATAGCTGGATAGATAGAAGTATGATAAACAGATAGATAGATAGATAGAAGGATGATAGATAGATAGAAGGATGATAGATAGATAGTTAATAGATAGATAGTTAGATAGATAGAAGGATGATAGATAGATAGATAGATAGAAGGATGATAGATAGATAGTTGATAGATAGATAGATAGATAGATAGAAGGATATATTTTCCAAATATATTCTAGAATATAAAAATATATTGTATTCTTGGTATAATAGTAATAACAATAATATTGGGAAAAAACAACAACAGTTAACTTTGTTTAAAAGGACAGTAACAAAATGAATAATGAATAATGGCACCAGTGTTATTTTACTATTTATATACTGCTATAGTATTTATTAATATTTGATTTAGCTTTAATTTGATTATTTTAATTTTCTAATTGTAGTTTAAGTTTTCGAAATTTTGTCGTGCTTTTGTTTTTTATACATACTTGTCATCTGTCTTTGTTTCAGTTTTAATTTCATTTTAGTACTTCAAATTAAACTTGCTTAATATCACTTAGTTGCCAGGGGAACATTTCTTATTTTGGCTTTTCATCTAATATTTATATTTTATTTTTACTTTATTTCAGCAAGTGAGAATTTTTTTTTATTACAATTTTTTAAAATAGTTTTAGGTTTAGTAAGCAATAACAACACAGAATGACACTGGAGATAGAATCCAGTAACATGAAGTTTCTTTCTGCAGTGCAAACTTTTCATATATTATTTCCTACAATATTTAAATATATAAATAATAGAAATCAGGAGAAATAAAATTGCAACATGATGTAACTGGGGTGTTTTTCTTGTGCCAGTATGACGATCCACCCCATAGACACTCACCTCTGGTGAGAGGCCATCATCATATTTCTTGAGCTGGTTCATGAACTCCAGATGTTTCTTCTCCTCCTCCAGCTGTGCGACGCTCTGTTCGCTCTTCTGGAGCTTCTGCTGGGTGTTGGCCAGCTCGTCCCTCAGCCACTGGTTCTCCTGACAGAGCCGTCGCACCTGAGCACGCAGCTTCTGCTTCTCTGACTCCACTGCGTTCAGGTGGTTGGACAGCGCCATCATCACCTGATATGTGATATAGGTGATGTAATATTTTTGCATTATTAACTAGTTCAGCAATGGATGCTGACTTTCTGCAAATTCAGTGGTGTTCACCATATCCATTCACCCCACCCCGTACTGTCGTCGTATCTCACCTGCGCTTCACCCAGGCCCAGCTCAATCATCTCCACAGACTTGCGCAGCAGGCTGGACTTCTCATGAACCAAACTGGCCTCCTCATCTTTCTTTAAGCACTGGATGGTCTCCACCAGACTCTGCAGGATGGAGTTGTGCTCGCTCTTGAGAGCTTCCAGACCCTGAATCACCAGTTTAGTGCTGGAGATGATCTCCTCCTGCGTCAGCTTCTCATGTCTCTCCTCATGTGGGTAAACCATGGTGGACATGCTCTGTGAAGGAAAAGGCGCAGGATTGAGGGTTTGGAATGACGTATGAATTATTTCAATTATATCTCATTGTACTTCAATATCAGTGAACTTAAATTGCAATGTATTTCTAAATATGTTAATCCAGTAGTAGAACTGGCAACAAATGTGACTAAATGTAAAAAAACCCTAAAAAAGCATGAAAAAACAAAAACCTTTATAGGAAATTTGACAAACAGTATTAATTGCTAGGCAAGCATACATTACATATAAAAATGGCAATCTCCAATGTATACAAAAAGTGAAGGATATCATAGGTCAGACACTACAGCATCATGAAAAATGAATATTCAATTTTAGATGTGCTAAAGATGACACTCCATTAACAATGCTATTAAAATATTAGTGTTTTTAGAGCAAGCATTTGTTACGTAATGTGGTTCATGTAGAAACTCTCTTATATAGTAAGAAAATATACTTTTCTTATGTGCTCAGGAAACACAGGAAAAAAAATGTAGGAGGAAAACAATCTACAAATGAGAAGGGAATTTTCAAATCTGAACTGATTTTAAAACTATGGGAGACCACAGACATGAAGACGGTTTTAACCGATTTCTAGCCTTATAATCCTCTGAACGCGCACACTAGACGATTCGACCAGACCGTGAGACCACACTCTTGTTGATTGTAGGAACGATTTCACAGTGACACGAGATCTCACGGACACTCGCGAGATCAAACGTGACTAGAGGAGAACAACAAATAGAGGACAATCGACGTTGTCAGCGGGCTCTCCCAGCGCGCGTTCTGTTTCACAATGAAAAACAAAAGCATAACAAAGAATACGGGTGACGTCTTCTGCTTTCGTAGCATGTTTGTGGCTGCCAAGTTTCAGCTATAGAAGCACACAACATCCGGTAGGTGACGCTTGCTCGCTTTCATTGGCTGTCGTGGGTATCACGTCAGAGGCAGCCCGATCAAGAGTCGTAAATATCAAACATGTTTTATTTTTACGATTTGAGTTCGGGGGCACTCCGTCTCAATTGGGAGCAGTTAAATAATCGTAATGACACCATACAATAGAGGATTTTTTGGACAACAAAATCGCTTGCGACAAGCCTTGAAATATCTAACATGGGCCACAACCCCCGATCATTTGGGGGTGCAAATCGGCTTTAAAATCCTTTAGTGTGTGGCCAGCTTAAGGGAGAACTGAGGGCTTATAAGCACAAAGGGAACTAATGAGATAATTAATCAGACAACTGGGGGTGTATTCCAGAAAAGAAGTTCAACAAACTCTGAGTTAAAACTTGAACTCTGAGTTGACTTAAGCCCTATTCGCACAGGATTAGTATTATCTGGGGACCTTGTGTGATTTTGAAATTACCCCCCCACATCTGAATTTCGTGTGGTGCATTCGCACGGGATAAGCGAAGCATGTGATTTTACCCAAATTTACTGACTTGTCTCCCGGATACCCGGATGTCAAGGCTTTGAGAGTCCCGTTTATGGTCCAGATGGATTTAAAAAAAGAAACTAATATAGTTTAGTGCGCTGTGTCATTTACATTTCACCAGGTTAAAATAATATGCTTGATTTATTTGTAACACATTAACCTCAAAACCTTTTCAGCTTTCTCTTTCTGCAAATTGTAAGGTGTAGCGATATGATGACAGCACCCAGAATACTATCAAACACTCCAACGCAGCTCCATTCTTCGCGGAAGATGGATAAAAAGGCGCACAGCAAACAAAAACCTCAAAAAATGATATGCCCCCCACCAAATGCTGGCCGAATCACAGAGATGCCGATTCGCACGGGACTAATATTATCACAGGACCTCGGTGTTCGGCGAAATATGGTAGGTCATTTGCGGGGGAAATTGCGGCTAACATTTCGATTAAATAATATGTGTATAGATAGATAGAGATACATTGATAAATAATATATATATATATGTGTGTGTGTGTGTGTGTATTCAAGCACTTTTCAATGACATTCAAGCCTATTGTGTATCTTTTCATGTTTGTTGTATCAATCTTAAACAGCAACTTAAATAAATGTAGGAAGGAAACAATTATAATGCTATAATTCAACCAAATGTCATGATTGTGGCAGCCCTACTTGGGTCCCTTAATTGACCAAACTTGTCCCAACAGCTTTGAGTTTTAAAATCTGCTGGCTGTAAAGCATTTACACTTCAGCCTGACAACATCAGTCTCATGCTGTAATACCCATCCAGTCAGCCTCCAGTCATGTGAACGCACTCAATTAATAAAGCCTTGCATCCAAAACACTGACCAATCACATGATGGATAAGAGTCCTTTCTGTCTTATAATATAATAACCATTTATTAAAATACAACAACGAATAAATGTTCTATAATGCATCAACAGGCTTCACAGTGTGATGAAATCAAACACAACATCCGAAGAATTAAAATCGTGTCATTGATTAATGTGACTATGCATTTTACCTGTTAATTCCCACAGTGAAAATCATTTACTTACAAGTTAAACCTTGCTCTGCTGCTAGTCATCTATTAATGATTAAACAGGAAGGAACAACTAAGACAAGGCACAACTGTTAGAAATAAAAATTCCCACTGTTGAGGCCTTTTGTGTAAACTACAACATTAAAGAAACAGTTCACCCCCCAAAAAAAGAGTCAATTTGCTGAAAATGTGCTCATCTTCAGATTTGGAGAAATGTAGCATTGCATCAGTGTCTCAGCAATGGATGCTCTGCAGTGAATGGGTGCCGTCAGATTGAGAGTCCAAACAGCTGATAAAAACATCACAATAATCCACAAGTAATCCACAGCACTCCAGTCCATCAGTTAATGTCTTGAGAAGACAAAAGCTGCGTGTTTGTAAGAAACAAAACCACCATTAAGAGTTTTCAACCATCACTTAAATCACAAAATATTCTTCTTCTGATTCAGGCGAGATGGCTCACTTTTTCACTGGAGGGAGGGTTATTATGGATTATGGACTTTTATTTGAGTCAAAAACAACTGTTTAAAGTTAAAACATCTTAATGATGGATTTGTTTCAAGCAGGTTTTTTCTTCACAAGTGGATTATTGTGATGTTTTTATCAGCTGTTTGGACTCTCATTCTGACGGCACCCATTCCCTGCAGAGGAAGTGATGCAATGACACATTTCTCCAAATCTGATGAAGAAACAAACTCATCCTAATCTTGGATGGCCTGAGAGTGAGTTCATTGTTAGCACATTTTCATTTTTGGGTGAGCTATTCCTTTAAGGTGAACAGTTTGGAAAATGTAAGGCTGAAAACACTACACATACTTTGTCCATATTTTTGCCCCAATTTACAGTCAACGCTATAGTTGCTAAAATTTATAGTGAGTCAGTGGATTTTGGGCAGTTGGAGTTGAAAGACTTCACAGGAAATTGCGTAGTATATGATGGCCACAGATATTTTAGCTTCAGAATATATGAATCCATCCAGTCATCGGAGATCAAAAAAAAGATCGATTTTTTTTTACACACGTTGTTTTCATTTGTTTGTTGTGAGTTCGTCATCGAGTTTGGAACAACTTGAAAGTCTGTGAGTGTGTGATCCTCAGTCGTTTAGTATAGTATGGCCAGTTTTTCTCTTTAACCATTTACAAAGTTGGCAAGTGTTTTAAAATCTGTTCAGAGTGAGTGAATGCATTCATGTATACTCTACTGAACGAACCGCTCATCCCTCTCTAATATCCATGGCAACATTGAAACAGAAATAGAACACAAATATTGAGTCAGTCATGAAATCTGAGAGATGGAATGCAAGGTGGATGTGCAGTGATGCCAGCATGGCTGTGCTATTAAAACTAACAGTATTAGTTCAGTATTAATTATGACTAATGGTAAAAAATGGCTTTTGTTTTCTGTAAACATTGCATGTTACATTATAGAAAATGAAGATGCATTGTGACAATATTTTAATTTCACAGTCTTCATTATCATAATGCAGAAAAATTCCAGTATTACTCTCATTACAGTAATGAGAAAATATTTTATTATTAGTTATTACTATATTATATTATTATATGCAGTATTCTGAATTCAATAACAGGCTAGATCCAGATGTGATTTATGGCCTCTAATGCATATTACAGGCAAGTCCTTACCTGAACTCTTCAAATGTATCTGGGTCGATGACAAATACGAATTTATCAAATTAAAAAGAAAAAATCGAATGTAAAACACAAAGTGGTATCATATTGGTCTTATACGGTTTGAAACTATTTTCAGCAAAAGTTTAAGCTTAAATTCCCTACAACTTGAACATATGTGCAACATTTTTTTTTGGAAGAAAATAATTAATACACCAAACGACTTTTTTATTTTCTTTTATAATGAGGCTTTTTCTTCATTATGATATCAGGGCATGTATAGCTTCCAAAAAAAAAGAAAGAATTTTAATTTAGAAATAAGTGTTAGAAAACATTCTGCTCTGAAAAATGGTGTAGCATTTACTTTCGAACCATTCCGACTCAAAAATGACTAGTAAATTTCACAAATAATTACAAAGAAACGGCAAGTAACACGTTGAATTAAATGTGACATTTTAAGATTACATTAGAGTTCATTTAGCAAGAAACTTAATTTCAGTGTATAAATGCATGTATGCATGAACTGCACTTTGAATGTAGTTTTTGCTAAATAAATACTGTTTATTTTTAGTTCAGTGTTGTTTATTATTAGTGATGTTCGCTAATTACGTTTGCTAATATTACTCAACTTTTGTGATTTGACCGATTAAACCGCTGCTGTGCTGTTACGTACAGTATTGCAGACACCACTAATAACGAATAGGGTTGTAACGATATACCGGTATGGCGGTTTACCACGGTTTGAACGTGCACGGTTATCATACCGTAAACATTTGCATATCTACGGTTAAAAAAATCTCGCCCGCGCACATGCAACTTATTTTGCTTCACTCTGCATTCACTTGTGCAGCGGAGAAAATGACAGAGACAGAGATTATATATAATCTCCATTAACAAAAAAAGTTAAAATCTGCAGTATGGGAATAATTCGGATATAAAAAAACGAACGCGGGGTTGTACTTGAGGACGGATCCAATTTGCAAAAAATGTGGACGCAAAGCGGCTGCAAAAGCAGGCAATACATACAACATGTTTGATCATATTCGCGGACACCATGCCTCCGTGCAGATGTGTGTCGCATACTCGCATTTATAAAAAGTTATAAGTTAAGGCCGTATGATTTCCGTGATGCAGAGGGAATCTGAAAAAAAACATTTTCAAATACACACATAAGGTCCGCTACAAGCCGTCAAAATAAAAGTTGGGTTTAACTTGAAATTATGACGAATATATTGGCATTGTGCAATGCACTTCAAAGTTATAATAACAACAATAATAATTTTCTGTATAATAATGAATTTATTTAAACATTATTTTCAAGGAATATCATGTTTGTCCATGTTTTAACTTGGTATACCTCTGTTGTGCCAAACATAAAAGTTGTTAAATTTTCATTTGATAACATTTTAAAACATTCATTAAAATGTTAAAGTGTGATATAGATATACATAAGGTGTATAGGTTTAAAAAAAAATGTTTTAATTAATTTATAATTTTTTCCAGAAGGGAGACTTCAATACTTTCATTAAAATCGTTTCAAGTTTGCTGTAATAAAGGATTTGTTCACTCAAACAACTTGTTCTTGTTCTTTTAAGAGTCATTGATACTGATAAGAATTTTTGTTTAGTATATACCGTGATATTTTCTGAGACAATTATCATACCGTGGAAATCTCATACCGTTACAACTCTACTTCAGAATAATTAAAACTGAGCATCATCAGACACTACAGCACATCTGATCATTAATGCCTTCGCATTCTGTGCAGAATTCAGCGCTGATTTTTGTGAGTGGCAGTGAGCGAGCGTGTCGTGTAAGTGGCTCTTATCTAGACTGCATTATTGACATTCGGTGTTTGCAGAAGTGAGGAGTGGCCGTGTCCACAGACAAACGCTCTAAACCTCTTCCTCCTGATGTAGAAACGTGTCTTGTATGTGAGATACAAGACACTCTGAGATTAATTCAAAATGTAGGTTTATGTTAAATCCTAATCTTAAATCCATAGAATTATACTCTCTCTGTGTGTGTTTGTGTGTGTGAATATTCTCTGTGTGTGTGTGTATGTGTGTGTGTGGTTATTGTGTGTGTGTGTGTGTGTGAATATTCTCTGTGTGTGTGTGAATATTCTGTGTGTGTTTTGTTTTCTCTGTACGCTTCTGCATGTTTGTTGCAGCACATTACTGTAAACAGGCAGACAAACATTTTTCAAATATTAATAAGCGGTTTTGTTCAAATAAATAATAATTGTTATGCCAAAATACTTTTTTTTTCTTTTTAGAATTTTTGCAACAAGGCTTTTTCTTCATTGATATCAATCCATTTTTGAATTGATATCTTCCAAGAACAATTTCAAGCTGAATTTTAATTCAGAAATGAGTGTTTTATATCGCAGTGCTGTTCATTACAGTATATCACTGTATAATGCATAAAGAATTGTGGTGTGTGTGTGTGTGTGTGTGTGTGAATATTCTCTGTGTGTGTTTTGTTTTCTCCGTACGCTTCTGCATGTTTGTTGCAGCACATTACTGTAAACAGGCAGACAAACATTTTTCAAATATTAATAAGCGGTTTTGTTCAAATAAATAATAATTATTATGCCAAAATACTTTTTTTTTTATAGAATTTTTGCAACAAGGCTTTTTCTTCATTGATATCAATCCATTTTTGAATTGATATCTTCCAAGAACAATTTCAAGCTGAATTTTAATTCAGAAATGAGTGTTTTATATCGCAGTGCTGTTCATTACAGTATATCACTGTATAATGCATAAAGAATTGTGTAAATCGTTGTATAGTGTTTACTCGTCACTCAAATTTTGTTTTATTTATTATTTGTAAAAATGATTTGTATTTATATTTAGGAGTGTTTACATTATAATGTATTCTGTGCATCTCGTTTAGAATGTGTCATTTTCTAATTACCTGTATTTTAAAAAGTTACAGGTAATTTTTCCTGTAATAATAACTGTATCGCTGGTGTAACCAGTCCTGAGTCAGGTCATAATCCTTATATTTTTGAAAATCTTTGAATAAAACTAATGAATGTAGATGCTACCACACGAAGCACAGTTTCGGGACATCATGTCAGAACACTGCAAGCAGCAGACATGATGATCTCAAGCATGAGGTGAGCAGGGTGTAGTCAGAGACAGTAAACATGACCTCTGCTGCACTGTACTCAGTGTTTATGAGTATGGAAGTATAGGTGTTGTTCGCCAGAGCAGGCTTTAGATCTGCTGTGACACTGTATGGGATGAGTGCGAGGATGGGGTGTTGTCCTGATGCAGAACTGCTGATGCATGTGAGACACAGTCCATAGGTCACTGTACAATCATCTGAGTTTATGACAGAAAGCATAACCCTCATCACACAATACACTCGATATTACCAGCTCACTGCTACAGAAAACCGCGGTTAAACAAATCCCCAGAGCCTTTTTCCCCTTCATAACACACCCATTTAAATGTAAGCTGAGCATTACAGTATAAATGCAATGATTACCTCACTGTGTATTAACACTGTGTGTATTATTACAGACCCTCTCTGGTGCTCAATAACATATCATAACATACCTGTTACGATCACCGCTGCGTCCGCTGCACTAATGTCCGACACCGTATTAAATCAAGGCCAAACTAAGAGAAAACACATCCCGTATCCAGAAGCGGGCTAGGAGAGGTCAGCAGCACCGAGTACCGGACCGGTGTCTGCGGCTGCGCTCAGCCAATCCTACTACGGCTCATTAATATTAATTAGGTAGCGTGACGGGCTTTACTGATTGGCTGAAACGCAGTAAGTGGGCGGCGCTTCGACTAATAGAGGCGGTAGGAAGCTGGCGACGTAACCCTACAGAGTCGGTTATGAATATTAATGAGACTGTGTGACTGGACATTTCAGGAAAATTGCCACATTATGTCACATTATGAATATTCGCCTTGAGAGGGAAAAAAAATCAGATAATTTACAGATACATTTAATTTAAGGCAAAGGTCTCATAAATCATGTCCGCATGGAGCTGGAATCACACTTAGTCTGTGTGTTTTGTATACATTTTATTAGAAGAAAAATATACACGAGATTTACAGTGCTTTCTATCGCCTTCTGCTCCTGCCACTATTACTGCACACTGCTACTCAACTATTATATCAATCTCCGGGTTCGAATGTATAAGCAGAAAGGTATTTAGACATTCCTGAGAAGAATAGAACGCTCACCGCAACTATGTCTCTGTTGCGACGGATGACGTCAGATCACAGTTCTCTTTGATTCTACCGCCATCTGTCGGCAGAACACAGAAGAGCGCGTGACCTAAAAGCTGGTTTGACAAAATATGAAAGTTGACACGCATCAGTTTTGAAATGGAATTTCAGCGATTCATTTTCATTATCGGCCATTTTTAATCAATTAGTTAGTTATTTAATTATTCGACATTGTGTAATAAGATGCAGCTGGAATATTGTATGCATATAGCAGGCCTAAAGCAGATATTAACTGATTATTCACGTGTTCCAAAGAATCACACATGGCTATGTTCCATGTAAAGGACTAAAACATCAGTCCAGTTTGAGCTGTAACAGCGAGGATGCGCTCTGCTTTAATAACAATGCAGTACAAGATGATCCGTGATAAAGATTCGTGTCATTTGTATGTGTAAGTGTTTGTGTATCAAATATAACATTAAACATACTTTTTAAATTAAGGAATAGAATATAAGGATAGAAAAGAAAAAAATAACATTCCTTTTCTTTCACAATTTTTTTCCAAGTTTCACACATTAAAAGATAAAGTGTGTTTCGTGAAGAGTCATCTGAATGGTGTACACTTACATGAAATACAGACATAATAGTACCAAAGCAGGTAAAAAGTGTTGGTGCGGGTTGCTTTCATGATGTGTGGCACCGTAGACGTTCATGGAACCTCCGTAGAAGGTTAAACACTAGTGCAAATGTGGTCACTATGCTTTCAACATAATTTAAGGTCTCCTATAAACATAATTTATACTGTTTCTGGACCAAATAAACTTTTTCGGGATGCATTAAATTAAAACTCACGTTTATTTCAATGTAATTTCCATTTGTTGTTCCAATTGCAAAGCAACTTGTGTGTGTTTGTCCAAAAATCATGAAAATAAACATCTTCACTCACACCTTTAGAACACTTTGCATCTGTAATTCACACATTTTTGGATTATGAGAGACACCAGATCTGAAGGAAAGACTTTTTGGTTCAGCTGAGATTCAAACCGGGGACCTTCTTGTTGTGAGGAGACAGTTTCCCACTGAGCCAAATATTGTGTGACTTTTCCTCTCATGTACCAGACAGACTTAACAACTGAGTTGTTTTTCACATAATCCAAAAAAAAAAATCTCATTATAGGTTATCCTTTCAGTTAAGGAACTAATTAGTGTTGGCTGGGAGTAATAGGTTAAGTAATGATATTACATTTGAAAGGAGTAACTAATGAGTAATATATTCATTTTTTTGAGTAACGAGCCCAACACTGCTCCTTAAACAGCCTTAAATAATATATAGACGCATGAAGATCATCTTAGTAATGCTTGGTGATGTGAAAAGTGAAGACAGTGGACTATATAGACAGTTATTATCGTGATTTAGGCCGAAGAAGCTGAAAATGTCTGAATAAGCTATAAGTCAGAAAGAACTACAAAGAAAAAAGACGAGCGTAAACATCGGTAATCCATACAACAAGGAAAGATTTAATGTAGAAAACGCTGAATAGAGACACTCAAGTCGCTTCTTCTGTTGTTGGACAGGTAAGGGTATTATTTATTGTGTGCACCACTCTTTAAAACTCACCAGTATCAGTGAAATTCCCATACAACTCAAGAAACTATGTTAATTCCCGTAGATAGATGGCAGTGCAGCGTTTAACACCTTAAAGTACACTAAGAACAGCGATGCTAACGCTAGGCTAGAATGCTACTGAATGCACATTTAATGGGAAATTCTCAACAGTTAGCACAATACTTACCATAGAAGGTTAATTATAAACCGGAGAGTTCCGGTCCTTGATTCTGATTGGTTGAGCCACGTTCGAAGCTGTTGTAAATTACTCTACAAACACACACCTTTGTTTACTTCTGTCTGTTGCTCGGCAGCAATTTGTTGCAACCACAACTCATTCTGAGGAACTATATTGTTTGGTGGAAGAATACTGTTTTTATTAATATCATTACACTTTATTTGCTCTGTTTTATTCTGTGAAACCTTACTTCGTATATGGAATAACCGTTTTATAAAAGCAATAAGCCCCGTGAAACCGTGGTTTACAGTGAATTTATAACAGCTAAGGGTGTTAGCTTCGCTTCGCGTCTAACAACGCCCCTTTTTAATTCAGACGGGGCTTATTGCTTTAATAATGTATTGGTAATATAAACTAGATAGATTTTCTACTATTAATAAAATACTTGAATCTAAAAAGGACCATACTTTACTTACAACATTTGCAACGTTTAATGTCTTCTGTTTCAGAACAAACAACACAAGCATATTTTTATTTTAATTATATGTCATTTATTTGCACAATCGTCCAGTAAGTATTTATCAAATACTGAAAAAAAAAGTGTTTGTCTGTGCACTCAACAAACAGAACACCGGTTCACTTTCTTATTTTCATTTACATGTTAATGTCTGAAAACTAAACAAAACAAAAAAAGTCTATAAAAGAGTTCAACTCCTTTAAAAAGGGAAATAGAAAAACAAATGTAAAAAAAAAATCACAATGCAGCCATGGTTAAAATCATTTTAGTATTTGTATGACAATTCAAACCAGTATAAAGCATATGAAATGGCAGTATACTGTACGTTTATATACACACGTTACAGAGAATAGAAGAAGAGAAGCTTTCCTCAGTGGTTCATTCAAAATCAATACTGTTCAACTTAAAACTACGGTTTGTGCAAATGTCTGCATTTCTATTTGAAACAGACAGATCGAATATTAGTGTTCTCTCAGTTTTACAGATTAAAAGAAGAAAAAAACCCTCTCATGTTGCCCTAAAAGTAGTGCTTAAAAACAACCAGAGGCCCAAAATGGTTGAACAAACCTCAGCAGTCCACCTCAAAAAAACAAAACCAGTACAAAAACATAGTGGTTAAAACATAGAATGAAAAGAACAGTAACAGTTCTATTCATGAAAGACACGAAAACATCGATTTTATGCGCAATGTAGCTATATCGCAGTTTGTGCTTGGCTGTAAAATAACGGCACTCGCCATAACAGCAAACTCAATGAAATTAATACTGAAAAAACAACACACACACACACACAGGTAAAGCCGCTATCACCCTCCCTCAGTATTTACAAGCAGGCAATTTTTGTAAAGTGACTTTTGAAGAGTGAAAGAACATAAACAGATCCACCACAGAAGTTACAAAAAGACATCCTGTTATCATCCCAACAATCTTTTAGTATGAGCCCTTATTAGCCGGCAGTAACTGGACCCTGTATGCAACACAAAGACACAGCCTTTCTAAAAACACTTGGTAACACGGTCACCGTGAATGATCAGAGATGGCAAGTAGAAATGTTAAAAGAGTAAAAAGTGAAAATATCTGCTTATCACCCAACACTGAGGGAATAAAATGATTTAAAGGGCTTTTTAAAGCATTTTACAAACTGAGATCTCCCTTTAGATTGAACCCACACAAGCTGCCTTCTTCATACAAAATACGAAAGCACCACGCTAGTCCACGTCAACACGCCTTTGATATTCATTCAGGTAACGAGATTATAAAGTACTGTATTAAATAACCAAAGACACTTTTCTTAATCTAAAAGTATTCACGTTACTAAAATGTAAAGGACTTGCCCTTTAGAATTCACAGCTACGCTAAAATCATTCAACAAACAATAACATAAACTCCTCCCACCAGTTCGGTGGCCCCTCCCACTTGCATCTGAACCCCTCCCACTTGTCATTTAAAGGAACAGTTCACCCAAAATTGAATTTTTTGTCATCATCAACTTATGCCGAGTTCACACTGCACGATTTTCAAACTCATCAGATCGCCGTTGTTTTCACACTGCGTGACTATCTGGGGTAGCAGTCAGTTGCTGCTGTGTTCACACTGCACGATGGATCGGCGACAGGGGGTTTCACACTGCATGACTTCACAATAGGAAGAATCGCCGACAGCTCTGTCTGGTCTGCAAACTACGTTTCACAACAAAACACACGCGAGAAGTGATAAGCAAATAACGCGAGAACCCGCGTGCGTCAGACCGGAGTTCTCGAGCGAGACTGTATGAAAAATCGGGCTAATATCGTGCAGTGTGAACTCGGCATAACAGACATCGAAACTGGCACAGAATGAGATTTAAGAGCTACGGAGAACTGTTCCTCACACAAATCTGTCTTAAGATGGGCGAACTATTCCTTTAACCTCTCCCACTTGTAAATATTAACATGGCATTATCAAACGTTTTGAATGCAAATTCAATCAAGCTCACTTCATAAATCCCACCCTATAATATTGTACACAGAACAATTATCATCACGGGAAAATTTCACAGAAATAATAACAAACTCTAACCCAACAAAAGTGCAAACTGAAGCTGCCGTTCGCGCCGGTACGATTCCTACCACAACATGTGCTGCTCATCTTGAAATAAAAGACAGTGCTTGTTTCAAACACGCCAATGATCCTTCCACCGCCAAAGCAACAAACACGACAAGTAACATCACGGACAACATTTCTGTCAAGGACACAGGCTTTTAAATTGACCATTTCCACAGGAAAATCCCTTTGTGACCCTGGACCACAAAACCAGTCATAAGGGTAAAATTTTTGGAAATTGAGATGTATACATCATCTAAAAGCTGAATAAATAAGCCATTCCAGCCATTTCCATTGATATATGGCTTGTTAGGATAGGACAATATTTGGCCGAGATACAGCTATTTGAAAATCTGAATTCTGAGGGTGCAAAAACATCTAAATACTGAGAAAATCATCTTTAAAGTTGTTCAAATGAAGTTCTTAGCAATGCATATTACTAATCAAAAATTAAGTTTTGATATATTTACTGTATGAAATTTACAAAATATCTTCATGGAACATGATCTTTACTTGGGGGTGGTTCATTGCAATTTCACTTTTTTAACGTTAGTTGGTGTGTAATGTTGCTGTTTCAGCATAAACAATATCTGCAAAGTTACGAAGCTGAAAGTTCAATGCAAATGGAAATATCGTCTTTTAAAATTCTGGCAGTTTAATGCCTACAAAAACGGCTGGTAGGGACTACAATGAGTTACTTCCCGCGTTCATGACATCACAAACCCAGATAAACCCCACCCTCGGGAAAAGGCAGCAAAGGGGGCGTGGCCAAGCTGCGCTGCTTTAGAGAAGAGGAAGAGAAAACTAGAGGTGCTCGTAAAAATCTATTCATACATGAATCGTGATTCTGTCTTCTAACGATTCTAATGGATTCACACGTTTCAAAATCAATGTTCAAAAGCAGCGGTTCTTAATACTGTTCCTCGCATTCCCTGCTCTGCACACGCTCTGCATCTCTCTCTCTCTTTCAGCTCAGCTCCAACAATGAACTGTTCCAATTATACACTTATTTTCACATAGCTATGAGAAGTGTTAAACATGAATGCACGTGCAGTTGCCGTACTGTATTAAAGCTTTAGTCAGGATAAAACCGTATATTAAAAGCTAACATAAGCAGTAGCATTTACAAATAACAGCGTATCTAAAAGTATGAGACAACAACAAACAAAAAACATAGTCCTACCATTAAAAGCTGTGCTTGCACAGGTTCTGCACGATCCTCTTCAATAATATCCTCTGCTTCTCAATCGGGCTCAAACTGATAAGCGATATTAACTATGCCATTGTTTACAATACAACCGGAGCACATGCCACTGAGGTGAGGGGCGGGCTTAGACGCACGCTAGAGGCGGTTTAGCCAATCACAACACACTGGGCTAGCTAACCAATCAGAGCCCATCGACTATTTCCGAGGGAGGGGCTTCATAAAAGAAGGAAATGATCAGTGCATTTCTCAGAGAAGGGACAGATAATGTGTTTTTAAATTAACACATGTTAGACTGCACCCCATCAACACAATCAAGCCTAGAAAAAAAAACGTGAACCACCCCTTTAATATCCTAATGATTTTTGGCATAAAAGAAAAATTTATAATTTTGACCCATACAATGTATTTTTGGCTATTGCTACAAATATACCCCAGTGACTTAAAACTTAAGGTTTTGTGCTCCAGGGTCACATTTGTCTATTTTATCCCCATCTGTAAATTCCCCTCGCACTGAAGAAGCAACAACAGGTCACATTGGCTTGCTGTAGCCAAAGATTCCTACAGGGAAGTGTTTCACGTGAGTCGGCCACTGTGCGGCCAGCTGGAAAAACTTCACGTCGTGCCATTCGACGCCATCGATGGACACTGCAGAGACAAAGACGACAATATAAATGACTGCTGTGAGAAGTCACACAATAATATATCTAATAGAAAATACAGAATTACTATAAAAACACACTACAATCATATCTTATCCAGATTTTCAGTTCACCAAATCTAGTAGTAGAATATTACCAAAATATGTTTAATCATATTTCTGTCATGACAATTCTAGGAGGGACTGGCATGCAATGTACATGACAATGTCCATTTGACTTATAGCAGTGTCCAGTGTTTCCCATACATTGAGCTGTCGGCTCGTCACAATATCGAAACTGACCGCCACAAATAGACTTTCCGAAAGGCTTATACTTCGTTTAATAAAAAAATCGGCATCATATATCGGCTATCGGCTGCCCTGATTTCTAAATATCGGCATCGGCCAGAGAAAAACCCATTTCGGTCGTCCTCTACTGCACATATAACATATATGAATAACCCCCATAGCATACATGATCACCCCGTAGCAGATCAATACAGGTGGAGCTGGGGGAGGTGGAGGGTTTCTGAAGTGTGCTGCAACTGCTACAGCCAGTGCTATAGTGATAATGATGCCATTATGTCAGATTGAGTTTGACCTATCAGACTGCCATCTAGAGTTTCATGACAGGACTTTGGATTGAACCAAATTTCTTGATTGTTTCAATTTAACATATAACTGCACTACATGTTGAAATGTAGTATTTTTGATATAGCCTACTGTTAAAGACTTTGGGGTCATTAAGATTTTTTACAGTTTTTGAAAGAAGTCTCACGCTCACAGAGGCTGCATTTATCTGATCAAAAATATGGTAAAAACAGTCATATTGTAAAACAATATTACAATTTAAAATAACTATTTTCTATTGTAATGTATTTTTAAATGTAATTTATTTCTGTGATGCGCAGCTGAATTTTCAGCATCATTACTGCAGTCTTCAGTGTCACACGATCTTCAGAAATCAGTCTAATATGCTGCTTTGCTGCTCAAGAAGCATTTCTGATTATTATCAATGTCGAAAACAGTTGTAATTAATAAACCGTGATTCAGTATGTCTTGATGATTAGAAAGTTCAAATGAACCATATTTTTATTATTTGTAACATTATAATAATCTTTACTGACACTATCGGTCAATTTAATGCATCCTTGGTGAATAAAAGTTTTAATTTCTTAAAAATCTCTTACTGACCCCAAACTTGAGCTATTATTATAAAAGAAACCCGTTACATCCCACAATAAGGACCCATGCAACGTTTCACAACACAATTAGACAAGTTACCACAGGTTGGCAGTAGAGTACATCCAACAAATTACACTTTCACTTGAACTTCACTATATACTGAGGGTTGTGTAGGTTTGTGTCCGTGTTGGTTTACCCTTCAGCATGGTGTGCTGGTGTTTAGCGGTGCAGATGAGTCTGCTGATGCTGTCTATCACCTGACTCTTAGAGTCCACATCCTTCTCTTTCAGCTTCTTGCTCAGGAAAATCACTGAGAGTAGAAGGAAACCACATGTAAAGCAAATTAACCACATTCGCAGCTTTACGAGTCAGCAGCTCATTTTAACACACCTTTTTTGTTCTTCTCCTTCATGACAACGGTCATGGCCATTCCAGGAGGGGGTGTAGGCTCCCCTCCGTTGGGGATTCGCGAAACCTGCAGCGAGCGGAAGTTGCTCTTCAGTGTGTTCTTAATTAACACGTCTCTCTTCTCACCTTCTTTCTTCCTCTCTGCACCCTGTAGCGTCCAGTAGTCCACCTGAAGACCCATCACCTCCCCACCGGTGCCTGGAGAACTGCGTTTGAGATAGAAGTGTGAAGCAGATGTACAGTAAGAGGTTTCACGTTGATTTATCAATGCATCATTGTTTGATACATTTCTATTTCCAACCTCATTTGTGACCCTGGAGCACAAAACCAGTCATAAGGGTCAATTTTTTGAAATTGAGATTTATACATCATCTGAAAGCTGAATGAATAAGCTTTCCATTGATGTATGGTTTGTTAGGATCGCACAATATTTGGCCGAGATACAACTATTTGAAAATCTGTAATCTGAGGGAGCAAAAAAATCTAAATATTGAGAAAAATCATCTTTAAAGTTGTCCAAATGAAGTTCTTAGCAATGCATATTATTAATCAAAAATTACGTTTTGATATATTTATGGTTGGAAATGTACAAAATATCTTCATGGAACATGATCTTTACTTAATATCCTAATCATTTTTGGCATAAAAGAAAAATTGATAATTTTGACCCATACAATGTATTTTTGGCTATTGCTACAAATATACCCCAGCGACTTAACACTGCTTTTGTGCTGCAGGGTCACATTTCTCATTGAAATGGTTTACATTATGTTGTGTCTTTGCACTAAAGTTGGTAACACTTAATTTTTGTCTTGGAATAACTTTGGCAACAGGGATGAATGGTCATGTTAGACTCATCCTCAGGCTCTTTTCCTTGCGATATATATTGTCGCATACGTACCCTGCTCCAGAGAGACTGGCAGAAACGGAGGGGGATGACGGAGGGGTGGAGGTCATGTCTTTCCCGTACGGTGTTGCCGTCTGTGCTGGAGGTGAGGAGAGCATGTTCACACTGCCCACCATCACTGCGTCATCAGAGTCCACTGCCAGACGAAACGCACATCAGTCATGTTTCACTGCTGTTATTGTGTTCATTGTGTTCCTGACTCAAGCAAAACCTACCTGATGTAGATAAGCTGTGCTCCACAATTCCCACTTTCACCAACTGCAAGAAAATCCGAATCCTAAATTACATTTTTGTAGTATTTTCCGTATGCACAGAATACCCCCAATATACATCCAGCACTGTGCACAGTGCAATGCTCAAGACTTAAACATTTTTAACATGATGGAACCAACCGCTAATCATAACAACTGTGTTTTCTAACGTCTTGTTCTTGATCAATGCGATTTTATATAAAATTGGTTTGAAAAACCATATTTGTTTTTATAGAGGATAACTGGAAATGTACATATTATCACATTAACGATATGTACACATTATGCATACATATGTATAATGTCATACATAATCATGACAAGGTGTTACAATAATGTAAAAGAAATGTAGCATATCTGAAATGTGCCTTTACACAATACATGTACAATGTTTCAAATATTTCATTATATAGTATATACAATAGACAGTAACTGGTACATAATTTTCTCTACACAACTAACAATTTTGGTATAAAAGGTAACATAAAATTCACAAATGATGGCTGTGTAAAATCTTGTTTTCTACTCTTACAACTGCAAAACATATTGTTAGTGCTAATAATGGTTTGTTAATTGTTAAAAGTGGAGAACAAAAGCCTGAAACATAAAAAATTCTTGTTGCCAAAATTGTTATCTCTGAATACAAATTTGAGAGATTTCATTATTTTCCTGTAATAAACCTTACATAAACAACATTTTATAAAAGTAGATAACTTTGCTGGATAACTGCTGCTAAACATTTTTTAGGCTGAATGAGATACTAATATATTATATTATATTATATATATATATATATATATATATATATATATATATATTAGTGCTGTCAAAAATTTATTTATAATTAAAATAATATAAGAAATACACATATAAACACATTTCTCACTAGAACAAACATGGGATATGTGCCTCTATTGCTTTTGTAATGGGACGACCAAGTATATCTGTGGAAAGTGCCGCTGACACTTTACAACAACAACAACAGAGAGGAAATGAAAGAGAAAGCATTTCTCACCCCAATGAATGGGACAAACTTCTGGCAGGAGTCTTCGTCAGGGCTGTGGAGGTCAAACAGGAGGGAATGGTTAGCACAGGGCTGACAGGATGTGTAATGTTAAGCTGTCAGTGAGGGCGGATGGTCTGAGAAATGCGTGTGAAGTCGCTGGGGTGTGGGGGGTGAGAATGGGGGTGTCAGATCAGATAGTGTGACACAGAGTGCTGTGAGGCCACAGAGAGTGTGAGGGCTCATGCCATGAGAGGACACTGGGATAGCTTCTTACATCCTCCACCAATCAGGGGGGTGTAAGGCTGCAGGCTATGGGGGCGCTTCATTATTGAACTCATTGTTATATAATCTTCCGTGACTCCTCCCAAGAGTCATCTACAACTGACAGAAGCTGCTCACCAACACTCAAGAAACCAGAACACAAGGAACTTCCAAGATTCTGAACTTAGTCGATTGTAATTGACAAAAACAGAGCCGGCACCGAGTTGTCTCCTGTAGCCGGACTTGACTATAAACATAGAGTCTGATCCACATTGCAGCTTTTTTAGGTCAAGAATCATCTACTTAGATGGGATGTCTGACCAACATGTACCATGACCAATCACAACTGAGAAAGCTCTCTGCTTCCAGACATCTACTTGAGTTCTCAAATAAAACTTAAAAAATTTGAAACCTTGAACCCACAAACTCCACTAACTGGGTTCATATCTTTTAATGGTGTGAGCACACCAAAAGCAAAATAAATTATTCATGCAAGTAGATTACTATGGAGTCCCACACATGGCATGCAGGGAAAAAATAGTAGGCTAAATCGTGTGCACAATTTATTATTTCGTTCCCTCGATTTATATATTGTGCGCACGATTTACGAATCCGTTCCCTCGATTTATATATTGTGCGCACGATTTACGAATGCGTTCCCTCGATTTATATATTGTGCGCACGATTTACTATTTCGTTCCCTAGATTTATATATTGTGCACACGATTTACAAATCCGTTCCCTCGATTTATATATTGTGCGCACGATTTACAGATCCGTTCCATCGATTTATATATTGTGTGCACGATTTACCAATCCGTTCCCTCGATTTATATATTGTGCGCACGATTTACTATTTCGTTCCCTAGATTTATATATTGTGCACACGATTTACAAATCCGTTCCCTCGATTTATATATTGTGCGCACGATTTACAGATCCGTTCCATCGATTTATATATTGTGCGCACGATTTACGAATCCGTTCCCTCGATTTATATATTGTGCGCACGATTTACTATTTCGTTCCCTCGATTTATATATTGTGCGCATGATTTACGAATTCGTTCCCTCGATTTATATATTGTGCGCACGATTTACTATTTCGTTCCCTCAATTTATATATTGTGCGCACGATTTACGAATTCGTTCCCTCGATTTATATATTATGCGCACGATTTACGAATCCGTTCCCTCGATTTATATATTGTACGCACGATTTACGAATCCGTTCCCTCGATTTATATATTGTGTGCACGATTTACGAATCTGTTCCCTCGATTTATATATTGTGCGCACGATTTACGAATCCGTTCCCTCGATTTGTATATTGTGCGCACGATTTACGAATCCGTTCCCTCGATTTATATATTGTGCGCACAATTTACGAATGCGTTCCCTCGATTTATATATTATGCGCACGATTTACGAATTCGTTCCCTCGTTTTATATATTAGGTGCACGATTTACGAATTTGATCCCTCGATTTATATATTATGCACACAATTTGCGAATTTGTTCCCTCGATTTGCTAAATCGTGCACGTGAATTATAAATCGAGAGAGCGAATTAGTAAATTGTGAACACGATTTAGCAAATCAAGGAAACAAAATAGTAATCGTGTGCACGTTTTAGTACATCGAGGGAACGAATTAGTAAATCGTGCGCACGATTTATTTATTTTTTCTTGCATGTTATGTGCGGGGCTCCGTAGATTACATATAAAGTAATTTGACTTTGTTTGTAATCTACTCGCACAAATAATTAATTATGCGAATTCATGACGCGACGTGAATAACGCGAACTGAATTGGCGGTTGTATCAGAAAATGGAGGAGAGCATTACGAGATGTTTTAATTTGCACAAGTGACACGAAAAACATCCCGCGAGTAATCTAGAGCGATAACGCGATGCAAATATCCACTTTGCTTTAGGTATGCACACACCATAAGAGTTTCCTCTTTTAAAATACATGTGCCAGGTTCTCTGCCATTTTTAAGAATTTAAAAATATTTTATAATATATTCCTTTATACATTGAATACAACTTAATCATTACTTTAAAATAGTAATTCATCATTTTAAAACAACACTTTTTTTTTGTTTAGAGTCGCACCACATGACATCACATTTATTTAATTAATAATTATTTGGTATTTTAAGAGACTTATTGACTTGTACAAAAAGTAAATCTCTCTATGACATGATTTCCTGTTTTATTTGTTTTCCCTGCATGCTTAATTGGTCACACCGCATGACTTTGACTTCAGCAAACTTCTCAAACATTAAACGCTTTCGCTTTTGGAAATTAGAAACTTTGAGACTTTTGATTTGCTTGGCCAAGGGGCATAAACAAAATTGTAAAATGCGCATTCAAGAACATCTTATCAATTCTCAAAGAGTGAAATCAAGTTCCGCCCTACATTTATTTTCCTCGCTGAATGTCCTATTTCACTTAGAACATGTAATACACAACATTTCAGAAATAAAATGGGTTCTGAACACTGTTTAACGTTTATTTTAGGCTCTGCTCTGATGCGTCAGCTAATATGATTGTAAAATGATGGGTTTGGAGTTATTGTTGATATTTTAATGTGGTCTGATGATACACCATAACAATCTCTGCTTTCCATTCTCACTTCATTAATTTCTCTTAGTTGTCTCTCTATAGGTGTTTTATCACGTTCTGTACCCCTGGGTTTCTCTCTGTATATCTCCCTTCATCTTTCTCTAGTTTGTTCTGCTTCAAAGTGATAATTGGTTCCTTTTTCCTTCCTTCTTCAGACTATCACAGATTTATGTTCCAGTCAGTGTGTGCGTGTACTTCGTTATTCATCCATTATATGGATATTTGTTTTTCACAGGACTAATTTAGCACAGTCTGCAAGTGATAAAAACAGGATTCTTCGTTCCTTTTATTCCCAAATCCTTCCAAAGCCTGTTCTTATAAGAAGGCATTTAGCCAACGCTTTGGGACACAGGCAACTACCATGCTTGTTTTTTTAATAGCAAGCAGCTAAAATCAAATTTACTATTAATAAGGTGATCACATTAATGAAATTGAGAATTGAGAAACTTGGCAAGTAACAAAAATTCAATCAAAATAATCATAACATTTTGCATATAAACACTTGCAGGTATGAACCTGTGATCTTTCAGTTACCACATTTTAACCACCCTAATACACTCGTCTCTTTTCAAAGTTTGTCACCATCTCTTATCTCCAAACCTGTCAAACTCAAACCAAACTAAATCAGTTAAAGACACAAAAGACTGAATCATGAACACAAAGCACACAGTGAGCAAAAACTAGTAGTCACGCAGACAGGTGTGTGTGTGAGGTTAACATACTGAGAGCATGAGCGATTTAAACCACAGCAAACATTAAAACGTCAACCCAAACACACGATTAGGTACCTGATGTAAAAATCAAAATACAAACTTCTCTTCCTTGAAGGCAAAAACAAAAGACCAAAGCATAACGGTTACTGCGCCATCCTCAACACACGCCCACTTCTCAATGACAAAATAAAACCAGATCAAACAAACGAGTGACATAACAAAAAAAAAGAAAATGCAAGTGCAGCTGATTGTTTGATCTACTTTATTGACTAATTGGCGATAATGATTATGATACCCATAGTAATTCATAGAGATCTTATAAAATGTCAAAAACAAAACAAATAATTTTTTTTATTTTGCATTAAAACAAACAAGGTTTTGCATTTAAGGTCCATTAAGATTATTTTATTTATTGCTTAAATTCTCATTGCTGCAGTGTATCTGCAAAATTGTACTTTTCTGTTATCATCAATGATGATTTTCAGTACATTCTGGGTTTACGACACACTTTATACAACTGTATTTTGGCCAGATGGTGCACAAACATACACTACATTTAAGCATAACTGAAACATGCCACATCATTAATCAGATATTCTCAAGCACACATACACAAGACCATACCTTTTTTGTTTATAGGTGAGCATTGCTTCAGAAATAGGGAACTGGTGGGAGAGATTGGCTCCAGACAGATATTGCGAGACACGACCGGCCACATCAATATTATCTGTAGAAAGTTTTAAACATCGCACGCATTAAGTACCAGCATCAAATCAGACAACAAAGGCATGAAATCATCTGAAGAGCCCATATTAGCAGACACGCTAACCTGAATTAGGAGCTTCTAGCCTCCCGAACACGTCCCTCCATCCGGTGTCCATGAAGATGTTACTGAACTTGCTGTCAAATGTTGAGATGTACTTAGCCAGTGGATGACAACCTGATCAAAAACAAAGTACATTTTGCTCACACTGAAGATATACCTTTCACATCAGACCAAAGTCCAAAATAAACACTCACTAAACACCAAATAGGACTACAAACTGACGCATAAATAATCCCTGCAGCTGGGTGCAAACTCTACTGGGAACATAATGCATGTTTTAATTGAATTGAGTGAATCCTCCCATTAAGCCACCAAAACAGATTTGTCACAAAATCTGTCTTTATGTTTTTCTGAAACATACAGTTTTACTGAGGGAGGTGTATATGTGACCCGTCCTGGCAAAATGAGTCACAATGAGTTATTTTTATTTGTACATTCTCTATTAAAAGACCTTCAAAAGGATGTATGATTTTGTTGGAATCGGACGAAAAATGACTTGAGCTACACCTGTCTGAAGTCAGCAAAGTCAATTTAGAGAAAAACTGATTTAACGTTTTCTGAAGGATCCAAAGCAAAATCACCCCAGCAACATTACATCTTTCCCCCCACTTCTTTTCTTAATAATCATTACTAGATTAAAAATCACACACACTTTGTTGTCATAAATAAGAACCGATGCAAAAAAACAAAAACAAATATAAGAAAGAATCAAGTGTATAGTGTATTACTTTTGTCATTTTACATCTAAACAAAAACATTCAAGTACGAAAAACAAAAAGTATATCACTTGTGTTTATTACAAATAAACTGATTATTAAAACTACAAAAGCAGTTCAATCAAGAGCAGCGAGTGATTCACTCTTTTATTGTCTGATTAACATTGTGACAGACGCCTATATTAAGACATAGTGCATCTAATATAATGTTACACATCCGATGTTTTTCCCCAACAGTTCCCCAAACATTCACTTAAGGCATAACAGTTTATGTTTGCATCAATACTGTAATTCTGTGTATTTCTGTATATTTATGGGGACTGTGTGCCGTCGGTGTCTGTCGTCTTTATGCATGCGCTACGGATGTCAATCAGTGCGAGAAGAAAACTCGTCCCAGAAAATGTACAAATAAAGATACTTTTAGATGTTTAATTACTATTTGGAGCATTGGGATTGCTAGACGAGGGCCTAATGAACACATTTTTGTGAAAACCTCAAATTCGACCAAAATCAAAAATTTGCCTGTAGCTCAAAATTTGTATTATTACTATTATAAAATAAAGCAATAAGCCCCGTGAAGCCATGGTTTACAGTGAATTTATAACAGCTAAGGGGCGTTGTTAGACGCGAAGCGAAGCTAACACCCTTAGCTGTTATAATTTCACTGTAAACCATGGCTTCACAGGGTTTATTGCTTTTATAAAACGGTTATTCGATATACGTAGTTAGGTTTCACAGAATAAAACAGAGCAAATAAAGTGTAATGATATTTATAAAAACAAGTATTCTTCCACCAAACAATGCAGCTCCTCAGAAACAGTTGTGGTTCCAACAAAGTGGTTGTCGAGCAACACACAAACGTAAACAAAGGTGTATGTTTGTAGAGTATTTTACAACAGCTTCGAACATGGCTCAACCAATCAGAATCAAGGACCGGAACTATCCGTTTTATAATAAGTAGAGCATTCCGACTCATTTTGCAGCACAGGTCACATATGAAAAACAGCTATAAAACCCATTGTAATTAGCATATTATACAATATATATATATATATATATATATATATATGAAAAAATAAAACAAATAAATTCATATATTTTGAGAGATCATTTTGGGACGGGCTTCAGATGCTTTATTCAGCTTACCAACAGGAATGACTAGAAACCGAATGTAGCTCAACCAATCGGGTGTCTTGTTGGCGAGCTGCTCCACAAAGCAGCGAAGGACCGAGCTGAGGTAACTCTGATCGCCCGCCACTGCCACTTTAATGGTGGGTGGTGTTTGTGCATTGCAGTTGCAGCTGACACAATGACAAAAATGAGAGATGCAAAATATCATGCTCAAGTTCTCACAGAAATACCCACTCGATTAATGTTCTGACTTATAAAGCGTGCTAGGGTTTATTTGTGTATTGTGAGCACACAGTGGGGCTTACAATCGTTGAATCCTGGTGACGATGGTGTTGAAGGCGGCCTGAACATCTGCGGGGGAGACGGTGGACACAATAGGCTGCTTGTGCTCCTGAAGAATCTCATTCAAATACTGCCACAGAAACAGAGTTCACGGCTCAAAAAGCAGCACGAAGGAATTAGTGTGAATGCTAAAGAGACAGTGTGAATGAAAACAAGTTATGACAACTGTGATGTGCATAATGGCTATCCCTGCGGGACACATCAGCCTCGGGGAAGGACGAATGTCCAAATAAATCCAAACAGACAAGACAAGTGATAAAAACAGTTTGTATCCCCAGGTTAATGCGTCAGTCCTGTTATCATCATAACCATCTCTCATTAAAATAATGTACTATTCAATAAATCAAGTGAACTCTGAGACAAGTAAATCAAGGACAAGTCTCCTCTTTTCTTTTTATAATTATAACTCTCTTATAACTCTGATATTGCTTTGAAGGCATCATTGTATCCAAATTGTAGAATACTAATAAACACTAACATCTAACACTAATCCACTAACTTACTTACATAAATAATTTACTTACTTGACTACAGAAGTTGCTAAAAATCTTTTAAACTTGACTTTACAAAACCAACTTTTTATGGAATAACTCTAAAATACACACACACACACACACACACACACACACACACAAAAAAGTTTTCTTAAGTGGTAATATTCTTTACTTTTCTTTTTACTTTAATTGGCCATTTTCTTAATCTTCTTTTTTTCTGTTTTCCACTTAAAAATGTTGAAAAATACTTTCAAAACATCAAAATGATATGCTTTCTTGAGATGAAACATTACAAGACATAATAGGAACATAATATACCAAATGTACCAAAATGTAGTAAGGTTTACGGTTAAAACAAGAAATTATTTGCCAATACGGTAAGAAAAATGTAACTTAATATGAGCTAAATTCTCTGAAATGTGTTATCTCATTACACAGTTTTGATTCTCTATTACATTTTATGTTGTTTTAGGATGTTTCAGTACTTTTATTGGAAAACTAGACAGACACACAGTGTAAAAAGCAGTGTTAAAAACACACCTGTCCCTGCCAGTCTGTAGTGTTAATGAGAATGATATTCTCCGGCAGATGTTCGTCAGAGTTCAGGATCTGGTTGAGTTGATCATACACTGATTTCCTCGGGACCTGCGACAGGAAGAACGTCAGGTCAGAAAATGAGCACTCGTATACACAAATCAGTCTTCCAGTATTTCCTTATTCTTATCCCGGCAGACACAAACACACACTTACACAAACCTGCGTGATGAGCCTGGAGTCTGGCGAGGTCTCGCTCTCGATGCTGCTGGTGCGATCGCTCTGAGCTTTGGAGTTCTGTCTGTCTTTCATGGATGTGCTTCGCGGACGTCGCTGCAGCTTACTGTCTGTTTTACTGGCCACCCAACAAGGAGAAAGACATATTAGCATTGCTGGTTACTAGACATTTTTGGCAAGCTGGAAAACCAAGCTAAAACCTGCTGAAGGCAAAGGTCTGCTGGTTTCTAGATGGTGATTGATGCGCTGGATTGGATATAAATGTACAATATTCAGCTCAGATGAGGAACACTTCACGGTTGTTATTTCAGTCCGAACTAAGATCTGTAGCACTGTAATAGAGTTGATCGTGCATCACAATTCGTGGCATCTTCTGCCTCCCAAGGCACCACAGAAAGAAGCTAAAAAGAGGCGAGTCAGTGATGCACTGTTGCGTTCCACATTTCCTAAAGTGTCTGTGTCTTAATGAGCTCATTAGCCAATGCAAACACACACATATGCCGTCTAGCAGAGGCTTGTGAGAACAACCAACTAGAAAACTACATGGAAGAACAGACGACTTGATGTTGTGATGGACCACTAGAGAAATATGACAGATGGGTGTTTCTTCAACTGAGCACTTTCGGTCCTGTGGAGTTTTAGAAAATAAACTTGCTTAAAATGCACTTTTCACACTCGCTGGTTTAAAGTCGGCATGAAATAAACATTTACCTTACTTGGTAAATGCATGATATTGATCTTATTGTGAATGCAACTGCATTCAATCAACAGACTTCTCTTTGGCGACATATTCTATGCCAGACTTTAGTTTACTTAAAACCCATTCCTTTCTACAATTGACCGCAAGCTCGGATTTGGATCATCTCCATTCAATCAACAACTGATGAATAGAACCAAGTCCCTGCCCTGTTTTTTCCCAATATCCATTTCACTCTGATGTACATCACAATATTGAAGAAAAGATGTTTTGCTACTTCGGTTTCATTGTGACTTTTAAATTTTCAGGGCAAAATTGTAGTGCCAATCTTATTGGATGGTCAGAGTTTTTCGCAGGCGAAAACAAAAAATGTCAACAACCCTGTTGGTAAATCGTTGGCATGCAAATATTGGTGTCAGTCTAAACAGATGAATTGCCACCAGTTCATTCAATATAAAATTGTATAAGGGCAAAATTGTTGGTTGGGGGGACAAAACTGCAGTTGTAATTTGTGTAAAGCTTAATCTAAATTTTCATAAAATAAATATATAAATGGTTTGTCTATTTCACTGTTTAGCTTATTTTTTTTTTATGATATTTTTTTTTTATGTTGTACAGATTGTAAGGACAATGGTAAAACAATAACATTTTACTGAATTTTTTTTAAAAATTATAATGGCATCTATAAAAAAGATATATATATATAAAAAAAGTTGTAATCTGTTAATTTTACTGTTCCGTAAAGGCCTACTGACACCAGCATGAATATTCAGCACAAAAATTTGGTCAGATTTTCACTTTTAAGATGTGTCTGTTCAGACCAGTGCATAAAAAAATGAATGAAAATGCAGTTTCACTCTCTGACAGTAGGTGGCGCTTACATTAAAGCAGACACATCTCTGGGATGCAAAACATTGCACAACTTTGTTTAACATTCACTTGTCACAGGAAGACAAGACACAGCCAGCTCCAAATTCTATTTAGCAAGAGTCTGTTTGTGAGCGTCAACTAAATCATAGTTTTATGCAACAGCAGCAGCTCTGGGCTCGTAGTGTTAATTTTGTCAGCCATTTATTAATTTAGTCTTAGTCTAAGTCCTGCGTCAAATCTACTTTTTAGTTATATTTAGTTAATTATATTTAGTCAACTTGTCCTGTTTTTGTTCAGTCAAGTTTTAGTCGACTAAATGTCTGAGCATTTTAGTTTAGTTTCAGTCAATGAAAACTTTTTTCGTCATGCTGTATAATGGTTACACTGATTAAAAAATATATATATTTTGCTCAAAATGATAACCACAATGACTGTTGCCATTTGAGAAATGTATTTTTGCATTTTAATAGAAGTACTGCACTTTCACCAATAAGCCCAAATCAGTAGAATGTGGACTCATATACATGGTTTATTTTAATAATAATAATAATAATAATAATAATAATAATAAAATGTATCCTTTTAATGGAGAAGTTGTGATTTGGGAATTTAAACTCTTGATATCTGGCAACCACAAACATGAAAGCTTGTGTACTCATTTTTTTGACAAAACAAAAATTTTATTTTTTAAATTACATTTTAGTCTCGTTTTTATCATCAATGATATTGCATGTTGAGATTGTCATAGTTATCTTTTATTTACCTTATTGTCATCTCATTTTCCTCATGAGAAAAAAGCTTGTCAACAAACATTTTTCGTAATTTCTTTCGTCAACCAAAAGTGCAAATCTTATTGGTTGGCCAGAGTTTTTCACAATGCAATGGAAAAAACAGTTTGCACCGTGTTTTCGCACTAAACATTTGCCATCTGTAGTAGAGGTCTTCACGGAGGACCCGAGACCCGAGGACCCGACCCGGGATCCGTACGGCTTCGGGGCTATATTTTAAATGGTCAGCCAGGTCCCTGGCTGGGTCCCAATCTATTACTTTGGGTCACGGGTCTGTTTAACATTGTGTGTAATACCCGAGTCGATAGGACTCGGAGAACACCCGGCCGTTATCAGAGACAGTCAGTGCTGTGCGTGTGTTGTTTTGTAACTTTCAACTTGTAAAATTAGGATGAGAAAAGTGTAAAAAGAGTCGGTAATTTGAAATCGGTGAAAAAACAAAAACACGAGCGACGTCATCAGAAGCAGGGTGGGTGGAGTTAATGCACACGCACGGTGATAATGGATACCTTCATGAGTGATGTGAGTTATTATTGATTATTTTTTAAATAATATTATGAATGAACCGTCTTGTTGTTATATCTAAAATTTTTGCTCAGACTCGGCTCAGAGAGCACAGAGATGATAGCAAATAAGTAAAGCTAACATCAGCAGCCATGGCACTGGACGAGCAATCGTTATTATAATCCAAATGGGCAAACAGTCTAGATTATTATGCAAGTTAACTCGAGATACAAAAAATGCAAAACTGCAAAGTCGCATTTGTCATCCGTCACCGTGACAGCAAGTGGACTTTTGAATCTGGAATAATGAGTGGATTACGCATTTCAATTGGCAAGAGAGGAATAAGACGGATGGAACTTTCTTGGCAAGGAGGATTGTGTGCATCACAGTCAGGTACAAGGGAGAAGGCTTCTTACATTAGGCAAGACAAAAAGTTAAATTTTCGCAACTTGTTTATTTTTTCAGATGTATTTCCAAGAAAAAAACATCGTCTTATATTCGGGTCAATACGGTAATTGACGGTCCGCGTCGGTTACGGGTAGTACATTTTTGACATTTCTCGGTTCTGCATGGGCCCGGGTCCAACTTTCAAAATAATAGACGGGTCCAGGTCGGTTCAGTGTAGCACATTTACGGGTCTCTTCGGATTTGGACCCGTGTAGACCTCTACTATGTAGTTAAAGAAACACCCAGATGTAAGAACATCTGCTAGGACTATTATTAAATTCAACAGCGAAAACTGCATAAGAGGGGATTGTTCAGACAGAAAAAAGGGGAGTTTGAGAGTAAGAGAGAGGTTGCAACAGAAAACAGATAGAAAGGAAAAGCAGGAAGGCAAGAATAGAAGGTCGCGTGTGTTACCTAGGCGACATGAGAGTCTGCGACTCAGCCTTGCAGAGTTTGCCCACCGTTCCTGCTAATTTCTCTGCACTCACGTCCCAGCTCATGCTGGCTTCACATGATGCCACGCCGCCGCCCACCTCGTCCTCCACCAGCTCCTGCGTGGAGAGATAAACATCAGACGTGAACATATATCACTCTCTTCAAGGGCTCGCGCGGCCGTGAAAATTGTCATGTTGCCGTGGCAACGGCCACTTATCCACAAAGCAGAATTGCGGTGTGAGTGTGTGTGTGACTTCAACACACTAGATACTGTTAGGACTGATTAAGTGTGCGACAGACCACAGCCTTGAATTATCAGCAGTCAGCGCACAAAAACAATAAAAACAGGACGGCCCTTATGAAAGAAGGATAGAGCCTCTTCTACTGAAGATAAAATTGACTTTTCCATTGTTTGAAGAAAATGTGACCGGTGATTGCTTGCATGAAACTTGACACCACAATGCTAGGGTGTTCTGAGTGGTTGCTAGGGGTGTGCTAAATGGTTGCTAAGTGGTTGCTTACTGGCCCAAGTCTTCCAATATGATATTCCGGTCTATAGATATGAATTGGAATTTTACGAGCTAGATGCTGAAGTTTAATATTTATTAGTAGTGTTGTTATTGTTAACCAGTGGACAGCGGATTTGTACTTTGTTATCTTAATTAAGTAAAGACATGTCTGCATTTTTTCATGTCTTTTTACTTTTGATACTAACATGGATAGTTCACCCAAAAATGAAAATTACCCGTTGATTTTATCACCCTCAAGCCATCCTGGGTGTACATGACTTTACTTTTTCAGATGAATACAATCAAAGTTCTATTTAAAACATGTCCTCGCTCTTCCAAGCTTTATAATGCCAGTGAATGGCTGTTGAAATTTTGAAGCCCAAAAAAGTGCATCCATCCATCATAAAAAAGTGCTCCATAGATTCCAGGGAGTTAATAAAAGGCCTTCTGAAGTGAATTGATGCGTTTGTGTAAGAAAAAATATTCATATTTAAACTTTACAAACAGTAATCTCTAGCTTTCACGAGAGAGTGGCGTTTCAGTGGATTATGTAGGACAAAGGTGTAGTGTAAGCTATTATCAGTGAGAATATGCTAGTCTTGCGAGAACCAGGTTTTGTAAACAGCAAAGGAAAGCCAGTCTCCTCTTGGCTTATATTAAAATCATCCAACATTTTTCTTGACAAATCCTCATTTTGTACTTCTAATGTGTGGCCGGTGTTTTGTTTTGCTCTCTCCTCTGGAGAAATGGAGTGAGTTTAATTTTTGGGTGAGTTATCCCTTTAAGTACATTAAAATCAAGTACGTCTGTACTTTTACTCAAGTAAAATAAAAAATGAGTTATAATGTTATAATGACTTATAATTTCATTAAGGTTCATTAAACTGTACTTTTACTCAAGTACTTGATTTGTGTACTACATCCACCACTGTTGTTAACTAAAACTACAACTATGAAAATATTATTTGTTAACTTAAATAAATCTGAATCAAAATAATATATTAATATTAGATGGAACACTTAAATGAAAATGAGAAATGTTGCCTGGGCAACTAACTGAAATAAGTTTAAATACTAAAATTACTAGTACTAAAACTGAAAGAAAGCTGAATAGAAATATAAAAAATGTATACAAATAACAAAAGCACATAACAAAATTACTAAAACTAAAATTAAAATGAAAGCTAATTCAAAATATGAATAAGTATTATAATAGTATATACTGTAAATAATACTAAAATAACCCTGATACTCTTGTAATGTAAAGGGATAAACATTAATAATTCTGATTCTTAATAAACATAATTTCTGACCCACAGAAAATAGTTGAAAAAGTAAAATAAAAAACATTTACAAAAATGATTCATATTAATATTACATTTGTGTACATGACATTGTTTTGTCATTATGACATTGTCTATGAGCTCTAATGCTTGATCGATTTGGTCTGTCCAACAGACAGCAGAATTGTTTGGAAAAGTCATTATGAAAAATGTAAATAATGACAAACAGGCCTATAAGTTTATAGGACAAACAGGCCTATAAACAACATTTTCAAGTCCCACATGGATGCACTGTATTTGTTGGCTCTGTCTCTCTCTCCTCCCATCTCTCTAAAAGTGCCTCATTAGGGCTGTTATTGTGGTGATGCTGGGTATTAAACACATTTAAACACTCACACATGGTTACTCTTCACTTTAAACAGATGTGAACTGATAGGGACAGATAGAACCAATAGTAATCAACAGAAGAAAAGAAAGAAAAGTAAATAAACTACATCACCTATATATCTACACAGTAATCGATATTCTACAGTATTTCAGAGAGCAGTGTAAAAATTGCTGTATGTTACATGTATAGAAATGCAGAAATTGTCACTGACCCCAGCTGCCGAGTCCACCACTGTAGGGTCATCCGGATTTCTGCCACCCATTACCCTGTTCTTATCCACTGTTAACAGATCGCCACCCTGCAAACACACACACGCACAGAAACAAAGAACAATAGTGAGCATGGGGTTCACGCTTTGGTTCTGCGAGTATTTTCCCATTTCCTCCAGACCCATCTGAAAGAGAAGTACACTATTACTTATTTTAGAAGCAATATATTTTAAAAGAACTTAAGTGTGAACGGAATGCAATGATTTCTGGCACTTAACTGCATGTTAATTGCAATTAAATGAAAATATGTGTTATAGCTTAAAATGATATTAAATTCAATTAGTTGAACTTTAGAGTACTTTTTTGGCCGACTTGTAGGACATGTAGTAATCTCTGTAACTTAATCTTAAATGCAATTTCATAATTACTTCTATTGACTTTGAAATATAGTTAAAGTGCTACTGAATGTACTGACAAACATTTACGGTAAACAAATATAAATTGTGTCTAAAATATACTTTGCAAAATTGTACGTCATGATTTAAAAAATATTTTAATTACACATTTGTAAAAATTATGTTGCAGTTTAGTACATTTAAAATTATATTAACGCTTAAACATAATATTGATATTATAATATAAATTATAATCAAGTGTTTTACATGTGCTATATAGCATGTTAGACAACACATCAGAATAAGTGTGCTTCTTTAAAGATTATTAAAACTGTACTGAGGAGTGTTAAGAAACAGTCCTTAAAAGTGTACTCTCTTGAAGTACACTTAAGTGGCCTTTTATATCATTAACATTATATGCGAAAATATATACTTTGAAGATTTGAAGTACATAACAAGTGCACATTCAATACAATTAAGTGCACTTCTTTTCTACAAGGGTAGGGATGCAAAAAAAAATCTTTAATGAAGAGTTGCAAGAAATGAACCAAACAAAGCAGCTCTGAGATCAATCACAACACTACAAGCTTAGATTAGATTTCTTTTAATAGGGGATTGAATTTCTCATCCCATGAAGCATTGTGAATGACATCATGGAATCAAAAAGCACAATATATTAATTAGGTATAATATACCACATATTTGAAGTTGTGTATATTTCCATATTTACAAATAAGAAGTTTAAAAATGTATAGAATCAGTATCATTTGCAATTTTTTATAGGAATAGGTGGTCACTCCCGAAATCTTCAGCTTTGGTTCCGCTTCGATGGTAATAGTGACTTAAACACATTTTTTTAATGAATTTGAATTCGTACTGATTTGTAGCTTCTACAAAAGCATATATCATCAGTTAACAACCTTGGAGTCTAGGTCTGTATTTGAAAGTTTATACATTATCATAAAAAAAAAAATCTCCCCTGGAGAGACAATGAATGGGATTACACTATTTTCTCACAAAGGCAATATGTATTTACTACATGTTTTGTCAAAACTGATTTATGATTTATGACTATGATCTGTCCTGTGACAGATGAGTTTGACTTGACTTTGCTTAGATTTATAAGGAAAAAATTGTGAAAATTTATATGAAATATACAATATACAACCAACAATGGCATGTTCTGTGTTTGCATTTGTTTAGGCAGAATAATACTGATAATACAAGCATTCAAAATGTCAGACATACAGTGGAGGTGGGCTCTCTCGGCTGGCTCTTCTGACTGTGCAAACTGCCGATCTCCGTCTGTGAGCTGGAGTGAGACATTCCCTCAAAGAACGGCCTTGAGTGGAAAACATACACACGTTAAGGATATAAAAACAGTCTTAGAGCCAAGAGTTGGATTTCATGGTCAGCGATCCAGTATCAGTGAAGTTTTCCTCAGTGTTTTTTAAGAGGCATTTACACTGGCGGCGATTTGCAAAGACAGAGCAACTGGAAGTCGTTCACTTTGACTAAGAGTCAACAAGACAGTGGACGATTACCAATAAGAGTAGAGCATCTAGAAGTAGGAACGGCCAAGGAAAAAAGGGAAAGTTGAAATAACTTACAGAACTTCACAAAGTGAAATATATCCACAAGGATATCTAGTTTGCTCGCTACTAATTGTCTCTGAATATTTGTCAAAGATTCAATTTCATGAAATGATGTGATTTTGAAAATGGCTTGACATTTTTGTGTGTAATATGCATCAGACTAGCGTTATGAGTCACGACTCTTACTTTAATTTGGGTTTGGGAGTGCTGAGAAGACTCTCGTTGTCCTCCATCTCTGGGCCACTGTCGATCTGGTTATAAACCTCCAGACTGTCATACAGAAGATCCAAATCTTCAACCTCCTGCGTCTGATCAACTGGGTCTGAGTCCAAGACCTTTTTGAGCCAGCAAAATATAAATAAAATGTAGATATTAGAGCCCGACCGATATGGGTTTTTTGGGGTCGATACGATACCGATATTAGGGAGTAAAAAAAGGCCGATATCGATATATCGGCTGATATTCTTTGTGTATATTATAGTACTGTACCAGTCAAAAGTTTGGACACTTTCCCATTCGTGTGTCCAAACATTTGACTGGTACTATATATAGAATACAGTATATACATAAACAGAATATATATGCATAAACACATTTTTTGCAATGATCACTCAAATGGGGTGATCAAACACTTATAATGACGTGACAAAGATATGTAATGATTGATACAGGGCATTTAACAATTTAACAATAAACTTTATCCAAAATGAGTCTGACATCAGTGCACTGAACAGTAAAGTTGAAGTTTATTCAACTTTAAATCAATTGAATTCCATTCAGCTTTATTCCGTTGAAGTTTAGTTCACTTCGTAACATTCATTCACGGATTTGCACTACTGTCTCCACACACAGATTCAACTTACTAGAGAAGTGTGAAGTGTGACATAATATACCTCTGTAAATAAATATAAATTCATGTCTCGCGCACTTTAATGCCCTTTGAATGTAACGTGTACGTTTCCCTTGGAACTGGAATCATGGCAGAATTTCATATGAAGTCCACTTCGCAGGGCACTTACGGTCGAATAAGACAACGCTTGAATGCTGCTGCCTGAACAAGAGACCTCCTTACTGAAGTGAAAGTATTGGTATGTCACTATTTCGCGAACGCGCCGGTGGATCTCCACCAAATTTGGGGGATCCCTTCAGCTCGAGGAGCCCTCTCGAACACCCCCCTCCACGCGTTGGTAGCCCCCCGGGATCGCTAGATCGGTCGGCGTCGGACTGCGAATTTAACCACCCGTAACTCCCAAACCCCGGGGGCTATCGACACGGGGGTGGTCTGGTTTGAAAGAGGGCCTTGAGTCATACACTCGATTCGTGTTCGAGAGGGTTCCTCGAGCTGAAGGGATCCCCCGAATTTGGTGCGGATTCACTGCGCCTTTAAGGAGATATGGCCATTCAAATTTTCAATGGTTTTCCATAGACTTAAGCTTTAAAGCGTTTCATCCATGTCACCAGTAGCAAACAATGGAGCACGCTCTGCTGGACAAACTAAGTAATTACACCATTCACGCATTTTATCTGCGTTATATGTTCTGTAAACAAAAATGTTCATATCGGCGGCATATTCGCCGATACCGATATATCGGCGACAGGCTCATATCGGCCGATAATATCGGCTAAACGATATATCGGTCGGGCTCTAGTAGATATGTATGAAATGTAAGTAAATCTCATAAGAACATGAACAGGTCACATTTCAAACCAAATTGACTTCATGACGATTTAAACAAATTTGCCCCCAGTAATTATCATTGCCGTAATTTAAAAAATCTATTATTTTTTAAATTGTAGTATATGATTTTCTGCCTTTAATTTATGCCAAACAAAAACATTACAGTATTTTATATTATAGTTAATGTCAAATTACTATAAAACCTTAATAAGATGGGGTTTTTTTGTAATAAAATGTGACTTGAGCATAATTTGCCCATTTTAAAAAGCCAACATGTGCTGAAAAACCAGACATTCAGTGCAATCTTTTTCATCCAGAATTTTCACAGGACAGTACAATCACCAGTAATGACCCATTCCTACTATAAAATGCATCTCCTCAGGCAGCTGAGACTAAAAGACAGAAAGAAGTTCATCGTGTAAAAGTAAATGAAAAACAGAAAGAGGATAAGAGATGGTCTGAAAGTAAAGGGTGCATATGAATGATCATCCTAATAATGAGAATTTATAAGAATTTACACTATTGTGCTTCTTTTCCAAGATAAAAAAGCTAATTTCACTCTTTTTATATATTAAAGGGTTAATTCACCCAAAAATGAAAATTCTGCCATTAATTACTCACCTTCATGCCGTTCCAAACCCGTAAAATCCGTTCATCTTCGGAACACAAATTAAGATATTTTTGATGAAATCTGATCCTTCATAGACAGCAACTCAACTGAAATGTTCCCAGGTCCAGAAACGTAGCAAGGACATCGGTAAAACAGTCCATGTGACATCAGTGGCTCAACTTCAATTTTGTGAAGCTACGAGAATACTTTTTGTGCGCAAAGAAAACAAAAATAACAACTTTATTCAACAATTCTTCTCCCCCAAGTTACTTTCTTCTGCCATTTTGGAGAGTAAAATTATGCATGTGTGCATTTTCTCCTAAACATAAACAGCGTTGAAGTTGAGCCACTGATGTTGCATGGACTGTTTTGCCGTTGTCCTTGATACGTTTCTGGATATGGGAACATTTCAGTTGTGTTGCTGTCTATGGAGGGTAAGAGAGCTCTCGGATTTCATCAAAAATATCTTAATTTGTGTTCCGAAGATGAACAAAGGTCTTACGGTTTTGGAACGACATAAGGGTTAGTAATTAATGACAGAATTTTAATTTTGGGGTGAACTAACCCTTTAAGTGCTGCATTGTGTTCACAACGGGATCCATCCTTTATAAGTGGACACTGATTTAAAATGTGTCAGCACACAAACAAACTTTGTTAGCATTGTTTTGCTCCACTATCCCTGCTTAAAAAAACTTAACACTAACTTGGCCAGGACAGAAGACCAGCTAAACCAACTTAAACCAGCAAAACACCAAAGAGTGATTTTACTCAGTTGTGCATCAAATTAATGTTATAGTATGGTTTGCATTGCTATGAAAGGTGGTCAATGTTTTCTCAAAAAAAAAAGGTAACCGAAAAGCTGTGATTTAACTGCGGTTGGATATTCCCAAAAGTGAAGTCATTTTTTCAACTGTCAATCACAGGTGTTTTGAAATACGCTACATATTTGAGACACACCCAAAGTGAGGTATTGCATTGACAAGCCCATGTTGGCAATGCTACTCATGGGAACAGCCTGCCAATGCAATAAAAGTGTGTCATCACCCTGAATCAGGAAGTTGCTGGAATGATTGCCAAATAAATCTGGATCATTTCCTGTAGGGTTTGGATAACGGAATGTGGCAGCCAAGGCAAGAGGACGAGGAAGTCAAAGAGCTAAACGGCTATCAACTAACAAGCTTAGACTCTAACAATGAGACCACAAAGCTACTTAAATCTTGCCTGCAGGCTCTAGAAACATGTAAGTCATGACCCCATAACTTGTCCTCTCGGAGCAAAGCAGTAAGTTAAGTTTTAGAAGAGATATACATCACATCTTACACTGCAAAAATCAAAGCTCCTCTCACATTTCAGCTACTAGATTAAAGACCAAGTCCCAGGGCTGTTTTTATAAAGGTTGAATTTCATGGCTGAAGTGATTTTTTGATTACAAAGCACAGGACCGCAAAGTAGAGAGTGGAGGGTGTAGAACTTCAGGAAAACATGTAATTCTCTTTGTTGCAACTTATGAAAGACAAAGAAAATTCTCACCTCATCAGATACTTTGAATCTCTTCAGGAGAGCAACAAACTTCTGCTTGAAATTGGGTTGCTATAAAGAAATTGAGAGAATATGTCGTCAAGGACTTCTGAGTTGCAACTGTTCAATGCAATACATGTTATAATCACAGTACAAAAAAGTATGGTACATAAAACAGTACAATTATTGTACTTTTTGGCATGCGTTTTAGTTGAGACAGTAAAATAGGTAAAAGCAAAAGACTAAATGGAAAAAAAATAGCATAAACCATTTTTGGTCCAACTTTTTATTAGGCATCCTTAACTGCTATGTATTTGCATCCAAAAATTATTAGGTAAAACAAACTTATGTTGTATCGCTAAACAATCTTGCTGCTAACAATTGCAGTTATGGGCAGGTACAGTTAATTTTAAGAGTTGGGGTAAAGTCAACAGTGTAATTATGGATGTAATTAAATGCAGGTATTTTGTAAATATAAGTACAGTGTAATAACATGTATGTGCACAATTAGTGCACTGTATCATATAATTAACTTTAAATGCTAGTACATAGTAGTTAGACACTTTAAAAATGTGCTTCAGAAAAGTGTAAGGAGATCTATATTAGTGTCGCTCTAGTTTACACATTGATCCTGGGTTTGTGTTCCTGATGTGTTTCTGATGGTGAGCTTTGCTTAAGAGGATTAGAACATCACCTTCTATGACTTTCTGTGAACTAGATCAGTGTTTCCCAATCTTTTTTTAGTTGCGGTACCCTTTGGAAATTTTAACAAACTTGTGGCACTCTACAAAATGAATTTTGTCACAATATTTGAATTTCTAACTTCGATATGATAATTTGAAAAGTATAGATATTCGGTACAGCAGGGAAGAACTGCAGATTATAATGTCATACAGATATTTTAAATTTTATTTTTGTCCATCAATGGTGGCAATCAGTAGGCTAATTTCTAATGAAGATACCAATTTATATGACAGATTTTAATGTAGGCTTTTATACATATGTAAACATTATTTGTTTACCATTATAACTAACTATCTTACAATTTTTTGCTCACTCAGTGTTTTTTTTATTTTACAGTGGGGTAATTTTGGTGCAGTAGCACGAGATAGCTTGATTCAAACTTTTAATTGAATAAAAAATGACAAGTAAGCAGTCAGTAATAAAATAAGAACAAATAAAGAAATTAATAATGATAGGACAAATAAAAAATAACGACAGGCCTTCGAATTGAATAAATTGCTTTTTAGTTTTTCAGGTAGGTCTAACAGTAGTGTTAAGATATTTAATTTTTTTTTTTTTAAAACAATTATCCAAATAATGTTTAGTCCTAGAAAGCTATTATTATCAGAACACGTGAGCATAACATAGCAGTTAGCAGATCAATGAATGAGAGGGCAGCGTTACCAGAGTTGCCCATATACCACACCATGTTACAACACAGTAGGGCTATTGCAGACAGAAACAATACTGTACTACATCGATGTTTCCTGTCGGCTCAATTTTTGAGTGGACTTTGCTGTTGCGATTCGCATGAACGATATATGAGTGGAGCTGAGCGGAGCGCACACGCATAGAGCAGGATAATACGCAGAGCATCACACCACGTGAAAGTGAAACCTGAGCGGTGAACTAATTTTCGGCAGCCAAAAGTTTGGTGCATCTCGAATTATTGGCGACATCAGAAATGGATATTATATAATAGATGCTTTTTTGAACATTTTAGCAATTTAAAAATATTAAAAAAAGATTTTTTTCACGGCACCCCTGCTCTCGACAGACGGCACCCCGGTTGGGAAACACTGAACTAGATAACACTGAACCAAACACCACCTTTAGGACACAAAGCCAATGTATCTATGTTTCTATCAGGTAGCTGCCTGAAGTGACTTGTATCAAAACAATTAATCTATGATAACAGACAGGGTCATCTAGCTGTACTGCGGTGACAACATGCCTGCATGCAGAAACAAATAGAGAACAGGGTGGATTATATTACAGTGATATAGTATAATACAATTTAATCATATCAGCTATTGGCAATGTCATCATGTCAGTTAGCAAAACTGTATTCTCTGGTATACAAAGATGTTTTACAAATGGTGTTCCCCAAGGCTCGATTATGGGTCCTATCACTTTCTGCAAGTACTCAGATGTTTGTTACTGGCCCCCCAGGATAAATGCAGAGGGAGTATATCTGTACATACCCGGGTCATAGATATGGTTCTAATCATTTTCCTCCTAGATTTTTTCGGCTTCCGCTGAACATCATCATCCTCGTCATAAAGGTCCTAAAACAGAATTTCAAGAAATCTGATGCTTTTGATAGGAAGAGATCCTTTTCTAAAGAAACGGGGCAAAGTATTAAATTAACCACACAGTGCAAAAACCAGCTTCTTAATCACTAACTACCCAAAATCCAGTATAATCAGCCATTAAACAATGCTATCAGTGGATGGAATTCTTTTTAGGTAAATTCTCCCAATACAGTATTGTTTTAAAGTTAACCCATATGCGAAAACTAACACCAATGAAAACTAACACCAATAAGACCAATGATATTGACATTGACAGATTACATTCATAGCAGAAAACAGGGAATAATATAAAAATTTACTTTTTAAATTTTTTTAGAGCAAGATATATAAAAGTCATATTGGTGAGAACTCCTGACCTGGCCTTGAACAGCGTCATCACTCGCCTCTTGCTCTGATGAGTAACTATCATCGTCATCTTCAGAATAGTTATCCATATCTGGAGAACGGTCTAAAAGAGAAAGAGACATTTAATGACCCCATGGTACTTGACATTTTAATGCAGCAAAGGCCTCAGGCATACAGTACCATCTGACATCCAACAGAAAAAAACCCCGAAGCATTAAAATTATTCATTCAAAACATGTAGCAATTTTATTGATCCAATTTGAGAACACTTGAGCTGCTGAAGTTACTTTCCCTTTTAATGTACCGCAGCATCAGTCACTTTTTCTTTGTGTGTGCTCTGAGATGATGGATGGGAGGATGTTTTGTGGTACAGAGTGTTTCCGGGGGAATTTTTATCTTAATTGCCGCTTAATGCACTCAAACTGCCCATTAGCATCTTTAAGTCAATGTAATGACTGTACATAAACAAACCCAATCACTGATGGAATATTGTGGTTTGTACAGTCATGCAAGGACAACTGGGTATATGGGGTGGTTTAGTGTAGTGGTTAAAGATTTAGCCAGTGTGTGTTCCCCTCCTTGCCATTTAGATGTTGTAACATTTGTGAAATTTCGAAGGCAAAAAAGTACGTTGTCTCTTGTCAATACTGTAGCGATGTATGAAGCACAGCCTAACGTGATTCGCAATTGTGTGGATTCCTATTGAAATGACTGGACTGCCCACAGAAATTCGCCCAACAACAGTTCTGTCAAGACAACTATCTGAGAGTTTAGTATGGTAATATACATGGCAATGTTAATGTGTTGGGTCTTGAAATAGATTTGCTATGTGCTATGGCAGAGCAAGTACTGAGACTTAGACATGCTGCTGTGCTGCACATATAACATATAAAATAATCCCCATATATAACATACATGCAATTATCCCATAGCAGATCTATACAGGTGGAGCTGGGAAAGGTGGAGGGTATCTGAAACACATTGTGACTGCTACAGCAAGCACTAGCCGAGTATTTGAATATTGAGCAGCAAGCTCATTGGCTGAAAGAAACCAATCAGCTGTGCCATGTGAATAATAATGTGATTATATCAGATTGAGTTAGAACCTATCGGCCTGCGCCAACTAGAGTTTCATGAGAGCACTTTGCATTAAATGTAAACCCACTTTTCAATTTTAATATATTGATACATTTGTGTGAATCACCTGAAGCTTTGGCCTTTGTCTCTGGCTGACCACTGCCGTCTTCTGGGTCAATAGGTTGACTTGACAGTGAGTAAACACTGAGTTCCGCTGCACGCAACGGTGCTTCCTTCTCGTTACTATGGAGACCTAAAATCTGGCCTCCATCTGTCGGGTGCTGCATCACCTTTAAACATAAACACTCAGAAATAAGTAACACATGGTCAAAAGAGTTTCCTCAGACACATTCTTGTCCATTCAGCTTAACTCCAGCTCATGACCTCCATCTGAAAGCCTCAGTTTTTTGTCAATTCGAGGTTGCATTCCCAATCGACCTCTTGGATAGATGAATTGTCCCCTATGTTCAGTGTTTTCTGTGTTTGAGTCTCTATCGAATATGATTATTGCTGGAATCTCAGCAGAGAGGAATTTGGAATTTGCGGGGGTGAAACTGCCGAGATTAATTGCAGGCATTTTCAGAAGGCTAAATAGCTGAATAAAATGCACCAGTAGGTGCACGCTCACATAAAGGCCCCCAACACTCCTATACACTAGACCTTTTTAAGAATAATTGTCTCGAAACAAAAGAACAAGACATATTAGTCATTAAGTGTTCTAACATTCTAATTATTATTAACATGAGTGACCCCAAATGGAAAAACTCTACAAATACAAAAGAGAATGAAACTTTTACACTCATTTCATACTTTTAGCAATGAATATCCACCTAATACTTCAGAAAACTCAACCATATTTGCACTCTGAGTTTTAGAACGGCTACTTTCTCAAACTTCGCAATCACTGCTTTGTAGTTAAATTTTTTAATTGCCTTTGTAAAGACAAAGTTGCCATTTAGTACCTTTAAAATGTATTAACTTGAAAGTACTATTGAATAACACAATAAAGTTCAAATTATAATCAAGAATATATATATATGGCAAACCTGCGGCAACCAGTGTTGGAAGTAACATGTTACAAGTAACGCCAGTTACTTTGTTTTCCCATTTATTGACTGACAGCTCTCCTGTCCCCATGTTGAGAGAAATCGGGAATAAGTGCAGAGGCGTTGTGTGTGCTGTGTGAACATGATTGCTGACTAAACGTGAACATGCATTTACTCATTTCACTTGCACAAAAACAGATTCAGTATTCCTCAAAATGACCGCTGAACAGTTTGCCGAAAGGTTTGTTTGAGCGAGTAACACAATATTGTAATGCATTACTTTTAAAAATAACTTTCCCCAACACTGGTGGCAAAAATAGCCAATCCATCACTATGATATCAATGCATATGGCTCTTTTAATGTGTGATATGTGAGAGAACAAGTATTGACATATTGACTTTACATGAAAGCTGTGAGTATGAGCTGCTTTGCTACTGGAGAAGGGTGAAATAAAGAGGTCACAGTCAGTCTGGCAGAAGCTTCAATGAACTGGACACCAGGGTTTTGTGTACCTCAGCCATATTAATAACACCAACAGCCAGCGTCTTGTAGCCCAGAATAGTTCTGTTTTTATAGCGTTTCCTCCTTTGAAGCATGATCTGCAGCCGGTTGGCATCTCTCTTCAGGAAATGTGGATACTAAAGAAAGGAAGTACGACAGTACAGTGATTTGAGCGTATTGTTGCTTGAGATTACATCATTTATATCAGCAACATTGTGACAACGCTAGCACACACACTTTATTTGATGAAATCTTCCCATCACTCTTCCTGTCAAAGCAACTCTTAAAGTGTCAGCTATAAATGCCGGATATCTGACCCAAACCGGGAAAAACATAGAGAGTTCTCGGAAGAAACAAAGGATAATGAAGTAAACACTCCATGCAAAGAGTACTAAAACCCTGAAACATGAAAGCTTTCAGAGTAAATTCAATTTTAGGTAGTTTTAAGTTGATATATTCTCACACACTTTCTCAGTTAAATATGCAACTAGATAGGGATGGGTAATAACAAAAAATATAACAATATTTTGAAATTTTGTTCAAAATGCTATATTAAAACATTTGTTTTATCGTACAGTGTACAAAAAAACGAATAATAAGTACATGAAAAATCTGGAAATACCAGTTCCAAAGTAAAGGTAATCATACCACGCATTTGATTAGATTGTTTTTATTTTTCATTTAATTTACAGTCATGTTATTGCAATGACACGTTTTATTTTTTCTCCCTCTAAATGTAACCAATTTTAATTTTTCTGTTTTATTTTTTATAGGGAATTACAGTGAAAAAACACGAGTAAATAATGACTGATTTGACATTTTTGGGTGAACTATTCCTTCTAAGCCCTATTTGGATGGGACTACACTGAAAAAATGGTGTAGGCGTTCCTTTGAAACCACTTGCTAGTGAACTTCACAAAGAATTTTAAAGAAAGGGCAAGTAACACTGAATTAAATGTTAAAAAAAACACTGCAGCTTTTCCTAAGCAGGTTAGAGAAAGAAGTAAAGAAGAATGTAATCTTAATTAAGTATATTAATATTTAATCTTATTTCAGTGGATGTATTATTCATATCATATTCATAGACTGAACTCTGTTTTATTACCTAAAATATTCAGATCACATGACCTACCAAAGCGCCAAGATTCAGACAACAGACATTCTCTCCTAAGTAACACCTAGTCCCATCCAAGCTGGCACATGAAATCACATTTGTCTTCTGTTACTAAATGAAACAGTATAATGCTTAACAGCATATGTTCAGATACACACATGCAGTATAAGAAGACAGATGTACCTGCAGGGAAAAGGTGAGCTCCAGGTCTGTTTCCATCAGGCCGCTGGGTGGGAGCATGTACTCATTCGACCTCAGGATGCGTTTGGACCCCTGAAGACATGGAAAGACATCTGTCTGATCTCTGTCTCTTACAAACGCATGCATTCAGTAATTATCACAGAAGAAACTTCTGATGCACCCTCAAGCAAATCAAGTCAAATGTTGAAGTAAAGTTTGAAAATAAACCCACGCAGTCTCTTGCAAATTGAAATGTTGTCCGCATGGTTTGACAGCAAAAGCATAAAACAAGACAGAAAATGACTCAGTCACACTGAATGTGTTGAATAATTTGTGTTCCTTGTTACTGTCCGTTTCACTTCACTGCAAACCTCTTGCAGGCACATCTGAGAGGCAAGTCACAGATATGAGCTGTCATACTGACTAGACAACAGAGACCCCTGCTTTAACATCCATCTGCCTGCTAATGTGGCGATCCGTCATGGCCCAGCTCACGTGAAACGCATACACACACACACACACACACACACACACACACACACAAACAGATAATCACTACTGGTTGACCGATAAGGGGTTTTAATGGCAAATGCACATATCTAAACTAAACATTGGCAGAGTGGCCAATAGCTACATTCAAGTGTGGAGTCTCTTTTGTTCACCAAGGCTGCATTTATTTAATAAAAATTACTGATATACTTATAGTTGTGATCAAAACTGTATTTTCAGCATCATTACTCCAGTCTCCAGTGTCACATGATCTTCAGAAATCATAATAATATGCTGATTTGCTGCTCAAGAAACATTTCTGTTTATTATCAATGTAGTTGCTGCCAAATATTTTTGTGGAAACTGTAATCTAATTTTTTTCCCTGTATTGTTTAATACAAATAAGCAAATAAAATGTACACAAGATGTACATTTAATTTAAAATGTACTCAATATTACATTAAAAACAATATTTAAAACGACCCATTGAGAAGACTTCTGGTAGATTCTAAAACTGACTCTTGGTGGCTAAATAATCTAAACATAAAGAACAAATAATCTGGGTGCTCTAAAGGCTCTAAAAGGAGAAAAGGCTCTAAAATTGTTGAACACAATCTATAATCACAGACACAGTCAGTCAAAATCAGTGGTTCTCAACCTTTTTGACTCTAAAGCCCCGCTTTGTCCGAGACGATATTGAAAGGCATTCCTATTTAAGCTGCTTCTGTTGTAATAAAAATGATTTCATACTCAAAAATGTAAGTTTTTTTTTTGTGTTTTTATTTCGTATTTTTAGCATTTTAATCAAGATGTTATGTTAATATTACTAAATGTAAATAATTTTAAGACTTATTGGGGCCCCCTAGTGGACCCTGGTCCACTTGGTTGAAAACAACTGGTCTTATGTTTTATTTGTTGTTGTTGCCAACTTTCTGTATATGACCAAATACCAGTGAGCAATTAATAATTTACCACAGTAGGTACGTGTAAAGTTCAGCAAACTACTTCGCGCTGTTGTTTCTTTCTGGTTCAGATGACCTGCCACCTGTTGTTTTGGACAATAATACAGTCGAATGCACATAAATTAAATACAAAAGATGTGATGTGATTTTTCAGTAGTCTCAATTTGGAAGGCTACTGTCCAAACCCATGCGCAGAACTAACACAATGTGAAGAAGCTCTCTGGAAACCACAGAATACGTCCATCAAGGTGTCTCTGCAAAAGCACATTCAAGCCTTCTGTTTCTTGAGCTCCAAACAAAGAGACAGAGAAAATGCTCCGCACTAACAAGCTCTGAAGGAAAGCAAATGCACGCTCAGTCTGCTTGTGTCCGGCCTGCAGACTAGCTGTGAATGGTTCGGCCTTCAAAGTGGGCACTTCAGTGAGCAGAAGAGGAGAAATAATGAGATATCTGTCAGAAACCCATCTTCTGTCCTTTTGAAGAACAGCCATGATTTTAATTCGCTGAGGCGCCGCTTTGAGAGTATAACACAACCTTTCTTTTCAGTGTCTGATGAGCACACTGTAAACCTGTTTAAAACCTTCAATGATCCATCTGGAGGAGATGAGTGGGCGAAACAAGTGCACTTCATGTTACCTAAGAGGATGTGCTCTAATCCTCACAGAATGAGTGACAGAATCATTTCCTGTTGGGAATTAAATCTAAGACTGATCTTTAAATATCACTGACAGTCAGTGACGTTATTTTCATGACAATTAAGCACATTCCCTCCCTAAACTCTTATTACTGTATCGCAAATGTTTTTTACTCTTGATTTTTATTCTCAAATGCGATTCTCATTACTGTAATTACTGTGACACAATGCAGCAATACAGTGATTTTTATTCAACTTTGCATAAATTAAAAGCAGTACAACAAATACCACCTTGATATACAAGTAACCGTTAAAGTTGATGTGCAAATACATGCAATTATTACATCATATAAGATCATATCCATGCTGTGACATTTCATAACCATAATAATGTACATACTTTACAATAATATCAAAATAGAAAATGACCCTAAAAACCCTCTTAATTTTCTTGACTGTTCAGGTTTGTTGATAATTTTTCTCATGGCAGGTATAGACATGTAACCCAAAAAAATGTTTCACAATGTAATGGAAAAAGATTGGGACACCAGATTAGAAATCTGTTGCAGATACGGCATGCAAATGCTAATGTCGGTCTGAACAGATGCATTAACAGGCGTTCATTCAAATTAAAATGTTTATCACACAGAATGCATTTTTCCATTCCAATGCTTTTTCATAGTTAATGTAAATGCGCTAGACGGACATGTAAGATCATGTTTGATCAAGACGCTGTGCCAAAAAATAGTAGCAAGTTGGCATGGCAACTGTTTTATTTGAGTTTTATTTTTATTTAACTTTTTTATCATTACTCAGCGCAGAGTCTCGCATTTTTAGATGCAAAGGCACGTTCTGTGGGAACAGCCCCAAAAACATAATTTTTTGGGTTTTTGCTATTTCCCTAAGAAAATTAATATTTAGTAATATAAATAATATAGAAGTAAAAATATTTCTCTTTTTAAACAGTTAAAGCTTTACAAAAATACCAAACACAAACCGTGTGACCAAAGCGACCTTTAGTGCTCTAAGTGCTCTGAAATGACCCCCTCAGTATATCCCACAATGCACCTCTTCAGCCCGCACACCCCCCCCCCCCCCCCCCACCCCCCTTGGTATGATTCGGGAGACAGACCTTAGTTTCAGTAGTCATGTCAAAGCAGTAACTAAATCAGCATACATAAAGTAATCTTTCCTTCGCCCCCGCCCCCCCCCCCCCCCCACATGCCATCTTATTGCGTTCAATCCTATCTTCCCACTGAGCAAGCTGTCGCCTTGGCAACAGCTCACAGTTACCACAGTGTCTTGTGTAAAGCTCTGAGCCCGTGTGATATCAAACACCGAGCGACACAGCAACACTCCACCTTCGACAGGCCAGAACATACACAGAAGTGACATAGTAATAGGGGTGTAAATCGGATGGTTCGTCACGATACGATACGATATCGATTCTCATACCCAGTGATACGATATTTGCCGATACCTCAAAAAATTCTACGATACGATTACGATTCGATTCGATACAGGAGTATATCGATCGATATATCGATATTATGATATTATATACCTATTTTAAACATCCATCTACATTTTTATTAACTCACAAATGCAACCAAAATATATATCATGAACATTTATCTGAAATTTTCACATCTTGTACCTCAATTGGGACATTCACAACAAAAAAAATAGGCCTACACTTTTTTTTTCTTTTTTTATAATAAAGAAAATAAACAATTCTGACTGCTACTATAGGCTCAGTGCTAAAAATCTTTTCTACAGATAACCAAATTACAAGCAATAGCAGAAAATAAATACAAAGACACAAGTTCAATAAACAGTGCTTTTCAGGTTTTTCAGCTCAGTCTAAAATACATTTTCAGGTACGCTACAGAAATGTCCTAATCAAATAAAATAAGTGCATAGTCTTCAATGTATAAATTAAATGTAGATTAATAATTTTTTATGTTACAAAGGTTATTTAGTCAGGAGCATTGAGCACTTGTATTTTTCTTTGACAGCATTAGATTTATTATTAGTTTGCTTTCACTTTAAGAACGAAAGCACGGATTTAACTACTGATACACATGCCTTTTCTTTCTCAATTGTTTACGTTAGACATATGCCTAACCGACTGTGTTTACTAGGATATTCGCCAAAACGCGCATTTTGAAGTAATTTTGTCTGTATTTATTCATCCATGCACAAAAAAGCGGAAGAGAGCTCAATATTCGGTGTAGATGCGGCTGTCTGTGTGCGTGCGCTTCAGATGTATGCGGCTGTCTGTGTGCGTGCGCTTCAGATGTATGCAGCTGTCTGTGTGCGTGCGCTTCAGATGTGTGCGGCTGTCTGTGTGCGTGCGCTTCAGATGTGTGTGGCTGTCTGTGTGCGTGCGCTTCAGATGTGTGCGCACTGCACAGAAAACTTCTCACACAGCGCTTAACTGTTCCGCCAACAATCCCGAGCGTCTTTTATGCTCACCTTGTGCTTTCGGACAGTCTTTATATCGAGTCCTGATACGTGAGTTTGAATGAGAATGCACGCGTTGTCGGTAATGCTTAGATGGACATTATGTGAAAATGTGGACAGTGCCAAAATAAAGGTGCCTATTTATAATACAGTTATCGATATTTTACGCGTGGCATCGATGCATCGTATCGATGTATCGATGAATCGTTACACCTCTACATAGTAACGGTGTCATTTTACCTGTATCTTGACAGCGATAACAACAGAACTGAGTTCGCGGTCCAGCTCTTTCAGTACGATCAGCTTCTTCAGCGTCAGACTGCACAACCTGAGAGACAGACAGATAGAGAGAGACAGGGTTATTTGGTGCCATTCACAAGTCCTCATGGGTAAATTAGTCCCCAGTTATGAATTTCTGCTTCAATCGGATTTATTTGTGAGGTTGCTCACATAACCTTTTAAATGTAGATGCTCCAAATTGTGTAAAACCACTGTAAATAAACAAAACAAATGGAGGCAGTGATATCAAAGCTCATGTACAGATGTCAGCATCAAATTGCATTTTGAGTGATTGTGAGGCAAAAAGAGCTCAAAATAATAATCTTTTAATAAACCATACATAAAGAAATAAATCTAGTGTATAAAAGGATCTAGTTTATTGTTTGCCAGTTGAAAAGTGTAAGCCTTGAAAAGTAAAGCCCAAAACATACTTAGGTTTTTACTAGCGCTGTCAAACGATTAATCGCATCCAAAAAAAAAGTTTTTGTTTACATATATAAATGTGTGTACTTTGTATTTTTATTATGTATATATATTATGTATATTTTTACACATGTATGTACTTTTCTTGGTTTTTCTATCTGCGCCTTGATTTTTTTTCCTTAAGTAGTTTGTCCACAAGTTGGCAGCACTGATTTCACAATTGAGAAAAGGAATAGATGGAACAACAACAACAAACACAACAATAGACGCCTGAACTTATGAGCATTTGTGCAAATGGATTGAGATTCAGTCTAGTTTGAACAACATTTTATCGCCCATAAATTCTGGAGAGAAATAGCGCAGACACTTGACAAAGATAAAACTTTCTAATTGTCTTGTGTTGAGCACCTGTGTTCAAACAAGCTATCAAATAAATTTTACTTTGAAAGGCTATATATTCGGACACATACATTAAGCATTTGCGTCAAAACTTAAAAATATTTTGGGCACATACTTTACAGTTAGCATTTGCGCCTTAATTTTTTTTTTTGCGATAATTAGTTTGTCCACAAGGTGGCAACACATACCAATGCCATTGTTCCACAGTTAAAATAGAAACAGAAGAGATAAAAAAGCAACAAAAATCTACTTGAGACAGCAACAACAACAACAGATGCCCACGTTGACAAACCCGCGTGTCAGGTGTTTAGAGTTTCACGCAACTCTAGTTTAAGAAAATTAGGTAGACATTTCTATCATTGGTAACTTCTGGAGACAAATAGCACAGACACTGGACAATGATCCTGAAGAATATGGACTCTGTGATGCTTTCAAAACATGGCTCTGTTCGTTTGACAGTGACATGTCAACTAGCTCAACCAATGACATGAATTTGGTGGAAGGGCTTCCTGTTTGTCTGACCAATGGTAGAAACTACACACTTGATCTCAAAGGTGTGTTTCTAGCTGCCAAACACTGTCTGGCCTCTCTGTGAGGTGGATTCAGGAGTTAAGCAGGTATGAACTCATTCTATGGTCTTCTAGGAGCTAATTACTCTGCCGTCCTGAGTGTTTATCTGGATCAATAATGCCTTTGGCTAGACAGTAAGCTGTGCCCTACACATCATCATGCCCTCAAGTAGCACAAAATGTAGTTGGTTTAGACTGAAATTCATGTTAATCTGTTTAATTACTCCTCGCACTTTGCAAAATATCAAAATGTGTTGGCATGCTACACTTCAATTTTCTGTTAAATCTGACAGAATCATAGGAAATGAAAATGTAAGGGACATGTATTTGAAAGGAGCCTTTGAACTTCAAATGCCACCCAGCCGACACTTTCATCCTGGAGATTTCTTCACCTTCACGTTCCAGTAACTTATACTGTTATATATACACGTTTTCTTTCTCAGCCGTTTGCTTTAAAACTTACTGTGTTTATGAGGATACTTAAAAAAATTGCCATTTTGACACATATAAGTGTGTGCAGGCTATTTAACCATTCAAGGCCTATAAAGCAGCAAAAATAACTCCGTCTTCACGTGTGCGCATCTCACGTCTCTCAGAAAAAAAAGAGTTTTCTTTCGCAGCTGATTGCGTTTTAATGGCTTAAGATTACTTGTTTTTAAACCACAATGCTTAAAAAACGTGTGCAAACGATAACTTTTCGTGACCATGTTGCACAGCATCTGTGAAATTTACTAGCAATTTCTCAGTGACAATTGTTTCAGAGTAAATCATACATTTTTATTATATTCCAGTGTAGAGTCACCTCTGTGAATATGTGTAAATATCAAGGACATCATCAAGGTTTTCCATAAAGTGACCCCTTTAACTGGATATGCAACTCTATTTGTAGTCTCCTCAACCTCTCCTGCTCTTCATTCATAGCTCCGATGGAGAGCAGGCAGAGAAACGTTTATGCTGGGTCAGCTCAAAACACAACCACCCGACTGAAGCTATTCAGCGCTGGCCATTGAAAGGCCCTGTGGCATGAAAAGCCCCTGGAACGGCTCAAACATTCCATGCCAGAGATCATGAGAAAAAGCACAAACAGAAGCGCATTCACTGTTCTGGCTCAGTCTCTCAGGATCCAGTGTCAGTCTTACATAAGATCCAGACTGCCACTGCTGATCCAGCATCTCCTCAGCACAACATCCCAGTCAGAACTCTGGCCAGCCGCAAAAACAATGCGAGTAATCACCTCTGACCCAAAACAAGACGATAAATTATGATTGCACAACATGTCAGAGCATGTGAACTACCTGCCAAGCCACATCTCCTTCATTTCATTATCCTGATATACTAATGGCAAACTTTTTAGAGCAAGGTTGTCCAATCCTGGTCTTGGAGGGCAGACATCTTGCAGATTTTAGCTTGACTAGAAGTTTCTAGTAAGTCTAAAGACCTTGATTAGCTGGATTAGGTGTGTTTAATTAGGGCTGGAGCTCTGTAGGACAGTGACCCTCTAGGAGCAGTTTTGGACACCCCTGTTTTTGGGATAGAAAGAAGTTGGAAATACCTGAGCAGTGGTTTACTGTTAGCGAACAGCCCAACGTCACCCATTAGGGATGCACCGAATGTTCGGTAACCGAAATTATTCGGCCGAAAATAGCAAAAAAAGCTCTTTCGGTGTAAGCGAAAAGACAGAATAAATTGTACCGAACAATGATATGACGCGATCAAATAGCAACCAGCGCAGAGTGAGGCGTGCACTCTTTATTATGCAGCACACACGTCAGCAGTGTGGAAGCATTTAAACTGTCGGAGAAAGACGCAAAAATCATTACAAGCACCGACAGC